CAGTCATTTCTGTTGCATATCCTTTATCAAGTAAATTTTTTATTTGTTGTACGCATTCTTCAAATCTGTCTTGTCTCAATGCTTGTTTTTCTACTATACAATATCGTCTCACCGACATTTTATAAGATTCTTCTGTGGGAAGATAAATTTTCTCGTTTTCCCATAACAGAGGAGCTGTATAATGTTTATCATTATTGTTTTGCTTGACATGTTTTTCAAGTAAATCAAGAGCATATTTTTCTGTGACTATTTCATTGTCATTAATTTTAGGAATTCTATATTCTGATCCCATTACTTCCTTTTCCATTTCATCATACTCAGTTTGTTCTTTTTCAGTCAAATTGAGATGAGACATGAATTTATTTTCAATTGGGTGAGACTTTTTGTTGTTAAGATCAAGAAAAATTTGTTTTAAGGGGAATTCTGTTCCGAAAACGTAATCTCCTAGAGGACTTTTTATCCCTGTGTAAGGAGCACCTTTGTGACTTAAGCACTTAACTGTTTCTAGTTGTTCAAAAAATATAGGATTATCGATCCCAATAATTCCCACAATTTCATAATAATCGATTAACTTTAGCTTATCAAATGATTTGAATTCTGAGTAGAATTCACTGGCAATGAACTTTTGAGAGCATATCTGCAAATCTTTTACAGTACGAAAATAAGATGTAGTATTTTGTGCACTATTAAAAGCATTGGATACTGTAGTTTGAATAATTCTAGAGTAGTAATCATTACGTGTCTGATTGCCAGACCAAGTTAAGGTTAATGGTAACCATGGACCAAGTAATTTTAATTCGTTAGCTATTTTTTCTTCTATGAGAGAAACTGTACTTCCGGTATCAAGGAGAAAGGCACAATTACGCTTGTTTTCTAAAGTTACAACTAAAACGCTTAGTATAGTTTGGTCACTTTTCATAGGTAATTTTTTAGCATTAGTGTTTTTGTAATTAGTTACTATATGACAAGATTTAGGTTGAATTCCATATCTACTCAAATATTCATTTATTTCTTTAGGGATGTTCGAATAGTATTGACTATTGGCTATATTGTGAAGAACTTTTTCTACTTCCTCTTCTTTTTCACTTTTAGTATTGTTACTAGCGGGATTTTTGTTAGTCTGATATTTATCTTTTTCATCTTGGTATCTGTTATTATTATTATTGTTTGAAGATGTAAAGCTTGATGCCTTCCTTTTGTAACAAAATAATGAATGATGAAGATGTTCACATCCATCTATTCTGCACTTTAATTTTGAATTGTAAGGACAAGGCTTATGCTGATTCTGACCACAAAATGTACAAATCCTTGCTTTCTTAGCAAGTTCTGAAACAGCTTTTCCATCCATTTTCCACAAAGCTCTACATTTGTTGCTTACATGATCATTATTTTTATGGAACCAACAGGTAAATCTAGGGTTTTCGTTTTTCTCATTATTACCGGAGGTTTCTCCTTTTATATAAGAGCTTTTGGTATGAATTTTGTTATTAAGATTATTAAATCTAAAGCTTTTATTCTGATCTTTAACTGGAGCTTTGTTTTCAATCTTTTTTTCAGGATTTCTTAACTTATCATTTCGAATACTAGCTTCCAAACGAGGAAGTTCACGGTCAAATATTTCCACTAAATCTTTTAAAGATGGACTTCTAGCTTGATCTTCAAGCTCAGCTTGTTTGGTTTCCCATTTACCTTTTATAAATAAAGGTACAACGTCAGAAATGTTTGCAAGGAATCTTTTATTATTCATGTATGAGGTATCACTATAAGCATCAGCCATAGTACAAAAATTTCTAACTCTGTCGAAAAATTCAACAAGCGTAGTTTTATTTTCTGCTTTAATGCGAATGTGATTTTCCAAAGCAGAAGCTTCAGATGTCAAAAAAGATGTATTATTTTTCAGTCTTTTATTAACATCTTGCAAACATTTTGAGTAAGTTCTAGGATTAAATAAACCTTTACCTCCAATTCTTTTTACGGTATCATCTTTAATAGAGTTTTGAATACGCAAAATATTTTCATCGTGATCAAATAAATCTTTGGTTCTTAAAAAGGCACTGTAAAATACCGTCCAAGTCAAATCGGAATCAGTAACCAAAGGAAGTTTGTTGTATTGTAATTTAACAAAGTAATTTTCCATCTCAGGTCTTGAGTATGATAAGTTATTCTCATTGGAATGTCTAAAAGTGTTCGTAATATCTTTGTTACAGGACTTTCTCACAGCATGACTACATCCAGGTTCTTCATCATCGTAATGGTTTTGTACGTCTAAATTAGAAGGTTTCATTTTATTAAGGGAAGGATTTTGAGTTGTCTTAACTCTGTTGTTTAAATTTCTTATTAAGTCTACACATGCATTGCATACAAAAGTCTCATTTAGGTTATCGACCGTTCCTTCCTCTTCTTCCTCTAGACAAATAGGATGACAAATCTTGTCACATGTTTTACATGTGTAAGCATGTCTTTTTGCTTCTTTTTTACACACTTTACAGAACTTAGGAACAGTTTTTAGAGTTTCATTAAATAATCCAGCAGTTCTTCTGCTGTTTTCGCCTCTTACATTAACATTATCTACATTAATAAGGTTATTATTTAAATTATTATTTCTATGAGTCACGAAATTACCAATTGAAGTAGATCTAGGAATCATGTTGTCCATAATTGACCCCCTTTGTCTTTCTTCATCTACATCTTTAGTAATATTTTCAATCTGGATGTTATCTTCATCTTCCAGGTTATCTCTAGAAACATTAAGCACACTTTCCGTGTCACTATGATCATTTTCATTATCTACTGGCGTTCTAGGCAGAGCCATATGTGCTTTACAAGACCAATTTCTTAAAAGTTCTTCAGATTTACTGGATCTTTTTTCTCGGCACTCTTTATGAACCCAATATATGCAATTTCTTTCTTTACACCTTATTAATTTATCATAAATTGAAGCTCGTCTATTGCAAAAGCTGCAATTTTTCATCAAATACTCTAATTACTGGTATTTTCTTTCATATTAATTGAAAAAATCTTATATCTTATGTACTTTATGGTTATGAAGAAATTACTCTCAAAAAAGAGTTTAAAATGTCAATTTTTTATTGCAATTTATTTAATTTTCGAGATTAAAACGATATCTATACGAGATTATTAGATGAGTTCTTCTCATTTTTATTTTAATTCATGAAATTTCAATGAACAATAATCTTGTTCTAATTATTATTAGTTTTTCTCAATAGATTCTCTTTGTTTTAAACCTAAATATCAAACATAAGTTTGTACACATATTTATTATCTTAATTTTTAACTCACTCTTTTTTCTTTCAGCCTTAATTTATTTAATTTCCTTCCTTCTTTTTTCAGCTCTTTCACGTTTTTATTCTTCCTTGCTTTATCTGTCGCTTGACTTATTATTTCTTATTTATTTTGTATTAAAACCCTCTAACAGCTTCTTTTTACACATCAAAATGTAATTTCATTTTAAATCTTACAATGGCCGTTATGAAATTTATTTCATGATATCAATTAACGAATGATTAATTAATTTATTATTATAAGCAAATTTGCATTAAGCACATTTTGCTTTACAGCTACATTCAGCTTCATTTTGTGTGTACAAGAATTATCCCTGAAATGAAATGAAAGATGCTTTTGTTAATGATAGCTGTGGTGATGGTTCCGTGGATGCGGTTAAGCTTGTGGAATGGATTTTCGTTGTTTTTTCTGGATAATGGGGTGTTGTGGGACTCCTTTTGAGATTGTTGTGGAATAAATTCTGACAAAACATTGAGAATAATGAAATATTTTGAAATTTTAGAGCTTTGAGACAATATCAAGGAATCTTCAGTGAGAATTGTGGAAGGCTTTAATAAAGATGTTCAGCATAAAACATTGAATCAAACTTCATTTAATGCTTAAAAGCTTATAAGAGATACTTGATGTGCCCGATGTTTTATAAAAGGGATATTTTGAATGTTTCTGAAGCATAAGATTGACTAAAACATTCAAGGACCATGTTTTAATATCAGAAACATCCTAAAACATTGAAACATAAAAACATTAGCTGTGAAAAGCATTGAAAAGTGGTAAAAATGTTTTCATCCCCTCCAAAAAGTTGGAATTTTCCAATGAAGCTCGTTAGCATTGTTTTTCAAATTTTAAATTGAAATAAATTGTAGGAGTGGTAAATCGACATGCAAAAGCACGTTTTGTCATCAAGAGACACTTCTACAACAAGCCACTGTCCCAGAAAACCAATCATCCTGAAGATTTGTTTTTTAGCACTAGTCAGGATTACTTAACTTTGCATCGAAAATCTATGCTTTATACCACTGCAGTGATGGTCAGCTTTTTTGGAGCAACGACACACTTCCACCATTGAATATTTTTCGCCGCATACCTAAACATCGTTAATGGCTTACTATAGAGCAGCACCTTTCAGGTTAGCCATCAATATAGCTCCACTCTAGAATTCAATGATGAATATAAGAACTTAACCTAAAACTCCTAAAATACAAGTCCATCCTAATCAGAAAGAAATCCTAAAAAAAATCATCAACAACAAAATCACGATTTTCATGAGAAACACTTCAAAATTTGATATTAAAATGCAAAATATTTAATTTTATTTTTTCAAAATAGGTTTAATGACACCAAGATCCTCATTACTTTCTAGATTTCCTTTTGAAAAGTCCGACATAAGTTGCGACAGGAATGCCACAACAATCCTATTAAAATATTCAGCACGTGGTTGAACAAAAGAAAAACTAATGAAAGTCGTGATTTTGATTTTTTTAAAATTATTGTCATCTTTATTTTGACAAATGCCGCTTTTGTATATAAAGTGAGAGCTTTTTTCTGTTAAGTATCATTAAAGTTTTATTTATCCATTCGAGTTATTTACTGAAATTAAGTTTAACTTAAAATTTTAAATTTTTAAATTGAAAAAAACTTGATTTTTCTTAAAAGTTGTTAAATTTTTTGATTTTTTTTTTGAATTTAAAAATATTAAAATGAAATTATTTGAAGCTATTTTTGGAGTTTTTGTTGTTGTTGCTTTTGGTAAGTATTTATAAGAATTTTTAAATTATTTAAAATTTAAATTCTGCAGAAATTTTTTAAATTCTTTTGAAAAGGCTAATTTTCCAATAAAGTTTAAAACTTTTAAAAAAATCAATAAAGTTTCAAATTTCAAAAACATAATTAATTTCAATTTTTTTATGTTTAGTTACATTAATCATATATTTTTAATATTTTTTACATTTTTCAATTTTCTCAATTTTTTTGTTAAATTTTTGAATTTTTTTAAAACTATAAATTTTTTTCCAAATTCTTAAAAGTGTAGAAATTTTTAAATTATTTATGAAGCATAAACCATATTAAAGTTTCAAAGTCATTTTCTTAAATTCCCATTTTAATTTCTTTTCAGCCATGTCATCCCCAGTCCCAGAAGATGACGAGCCAGCACATCAATTCACCCTCCTGATCTGTCAAAACTGGATGGTTATTGGCAATGGAATTCACGGAGATCTCAACACTGAATTAACAAACGCTTTAAATCATTTCATTGACTTTATTTATTCCTACCAAGACTTGTACACAAGTCAACCAAAAGCTGAGTTCTATGCAGCTGTAGATAGTGAATATAAGCAAGCAAATGCAACTTTTCATTCAGCAAAAAATATTGCAATAATTAAAATTGCTAAGAAATTCAACATTAATGTTGACCAAGCTGCAGATTTGTTGGCTAAACCTGAAGATTTTCAGATGCCATTTAGCTGCATTCGTCACATTTTGACTAAAATGTCTTGTGCCTTTAACGACACTCTTGAACAAGCTAAGTTCGCTCTTGAGTTGCTTGGTGAGACTCACAGTTAAATGAACTATCGAGGACGAATTTTGAGGTGACTTAACTTTGAGAATTTTTATCTGAAATTGTAAAACTCCTTTAAAATGTTAATAATTATTTAAATAAATTGAACACCTCAAGAAAAAAAATGCAATTTTATTTAATTTTCAATAAAACATTAAAATCTATGAATAACATCAGCTTGGCACCAACAAGCTTTGCTAAGAAACATCAAAAAATAATGAAAAAGCTTTTTATCCCCTCCTTAATTTCATCCACTCCTTCTCCAATTTTTCCAGGACATCTTAATGTTGTGTTGTAATGTTTTGATGTCTTGACTAAAGACTAGTGCTTCTGTGGAAGTGAAAAAAAAATTGTGAGCATAGTTTAAGACTTATTGAATTTTTTTTTCGGAGGAACAATTTGATTTTCAGGTTTTTTGGTTCAGCTTTCATTCAAACCACACCTAAATATAGGGTGACCATCTGCGTGGTTTTACAACGAACAGTCCTGTATTTCAAAACCCTGTCCTGTATAAATTTGAAAATTTTGTTCCAGGTCCTGTATTTTTTTCACAAAAATTTCCGTTAATTTTCAAATTTTCCTTTGTGTCCTGTATTTTTTAGGAAATTTATCAAATGTCCTGTATTTTCATAAAAATTAGATGGTCACCCTACCTAAATACACTTAATACTGAATTTATGAACTCTGTACATTACAATCTAATTTGAATCGCAGTGCCTCCAGCTGAAAGATTAGGCCCTTCACACATTATTATTATTATATCTATTTACTGGTTTTTCGAGATTGAATACGTTTGGAAATCATGAGAAGGGCCTAGCTTTTTCAGCTGGAAGCACTGCGATTCAAATTAGAATTGAATCTGTGGTTTGTCACCCTTAAGACCGACTGTTTATATAAAATCCGAGTAGCATGCAATCGTTGCATATTGCAAAGAGACGAGTACGTTTAAAGACCTGATGTACTCTGCAATGTACCCAGTCACGATTACTCTGTGCAAGATACTTTAATGAAATCATCCAGATGCTAGTGTATCCTAGTTTTCCCAGCAAAGGACAAACATTCTGTGTCAAAGATCTCAAAACTACAGCCAACGCACGAAACGAGCTTCATAACTAGAACGATGAACTGGAAAAAGATTTTCTAAAACTTGACTTGGACTGTGATTGAACCAAAAACCTCTGGCACGTTAAGCCTACGCTCTACCATTTAGGACACTGATGCTGTTTCACCGCTCATGAATAAGATTGTATCTTGGGTTTCTTTTTCTATAAAGTGGGTAAGTAAGACCTTCCTTAGTTCTCTTTGGACACTTTTTTATTGTTTTTCCACTTATCATGCATCTACTTGTCTGACACCATCCTTTTTCAATCATTTCTACACTTATTTTTCATTCCCTCATCTCTCCTCCACCTGTGATCAACATGATTAGATAACGAGCTAAAGTTAACCTTATAAAACGTTTAAATCTAATTGTTACAAGGTTCTTGATCAAAATCTTGATTTAATAAGTTGTTCCTTTATTCTTCTACCAACCAATAAGCCCCTTTCCTTCTTATATCACCCCAATAATCTTAAACTACACACCTTTTTATCACATTTTATGCATGAAAGTTCTTCAATATCTTCAATGTCAATGCTGTTTGATTTAATGTTGCATTTGAAGCTCCTCGCATTTTCTTCAGTATAAATTCAATGCAACTGAATGGAAAACTTAAATTATTCAGATTACTAAAAAGGTTGTTAACATCTTTAAAGGCAAGTCCGAAATGAGTCGCAACTTTAGTTTTTGCTTCCGTAAAACTATCTAAAATTGAGGAATTTGCTTGCGCCCACATTGGAGTGACAGCAGTCATGAATGTCTCAGCTGATTGTGATGGATGTCCAAATTCATAGTAATAAATGTTCTCTGCGAATGTATCGAGGCTTGATGTTAAAGCTTCTTCGAGTGAATGCAGGATGACGTTGGCATCTTTTATATAAGTTTTGCATAGCAGTGCTGGAGATAACGGACCACCTGATGATGTAACTAGGGGTAAAAATTTTTGGATGTATTGTGATTTATTTCAAAGGCTCTGGTTAAATTGTCAATGATTTTTTTAAGCTTATTTTTAATATTTTAAAGATATTTAAGCTGAGGTATTGTTGATCTAAACGGCACAGGCGCGTAGGGTCGTCAGGAGGGTCTTGCCCCCTTAGGAGCTGTGGTTGAAAACGCTTAATGGGGAGAAAAACTCTCTTGGCTATGCGCCTGATATGGTATGATCCTTTTTGGACCCCATGATGATGGCACAATGCTTATATTAGGCTTGTTTGTAAGAAAAAGGTTCAAATTGACATACAGTGATACTTTTACATCATCATATCCATTAATATGACTCTTATAACACTGTCTCTTCCATAAAGCCAACAACATGTTGCAGTGTCATCATCATGTTAGCCACACCACCTCAAACGATGCTTCTGAATGACACTAAGTCTCTACTTTATGAATTTGAACCTTATTTTTGCTTAAAACCGACTACAACTTACTTTGCAGTACTAAAGACAGCACCAGTCCAAACAATTCCTTTCTCATCTTCTAACAAAAATTATTCAAAATTTCAAACTATGCTCAACCAGTCAGACTCACAAACTACGAATTTACCTAACATTCAACCAAATTTTTATATGCAAATTTTGACACTTATTTGCAGTCACGAAAGCAAATTTAATTTAACAATGAAGCAATTATTAACTATTTGTTTTGAAAAAATCAATTTTGGTAAAGGTTTGACTTTAAAACATTGTCCTTCGGAACAACTGAAATGCATTACGAAGGATGTGGGTTGGGCGGGATTGATTTTCGAACTATTTATATTTTATTGAAGGTTCTTTGACACTTGAATTTGTTGTAATGCCTCAATTGAAATTGATTTGGAAGAAATTGAAAAGAATTATTGATGGAATGGATTTGCATTGAGGGAGTTCGAGAGACAACGTAGCAGGATGGAGGAGCAAGTGATAATGTAATTAAAAAATTAATATTTTAAAAAAAAAATTATACCTTAATGCTTTACGTTTGCTGTGCCATTAGCCAAAGTTGATGCTTGCTCAAGTTAAAGATCGTAATTTGACCGGCTGGATTCTAAATGATTACTTATACTCTGTTCTAGCTCTAGTCAAATTTTAACCAAACAGCAAGACAGACAACCATCAAATTTCAGTTACAAAAAAAATAACGGTCATCAAAAATTCAAATTTTCAAACCAAATCCCAGAACCCTTCAAATGTCCCTCAGAACACCTCAACATCATAAAAACACAACGACACTAACACACTACAGCTGTTTATACACAGTCAGTTCTCACACATACAACTACAAATCTAGAAAAAAAATTATAATCACAAGAAGAAATAAGTAGAAGTGAAATTTTGTCTCAAAAAAACGTTTTAAAGTGAAAATCAAAATGAATTTTGCGATAAATCAAGTCACATTGACTAGTTAAGCAGTCAGTCTATCGATTAATGCTAAAAAGTCATCGAAAAGAGTTGAAAAAGTGCGACCGAAAAGCCAATTTTCAATTTGTGGTGTTTTTCTGTAAAGCTGGCGTCTGCTCATGTTATGAAAATTTATCATTAAAAAGTGCGACTAGCTGTGGACAATAAAAAAAGTTGAATTTTAAGGACCACAAGATTGTGAAAAAATCTATAAAATTTTCAATTTTCCGCTCCAAAAAAGTGTGAATTTAAAAGGAAAAAAAATTAAGAAAAAAAAATTTGGTTCAGAACGGCATAACGGTGCGCAAAAAACCTCACACAAAATATATACACAAATACATCCACAAAAGTCTTTTTAGTGCGAGAGAAAAAAAATTATTTTCTTCTTTTTCGTTTTTATCTTCAATTTCTTGCCTGCTTCTCACCGCTGTGTGTTTTGTATCTTTGAAGGCACACACAGAACAGCAACAACAACATAAAAAAAAAGTGGATTTTTTTTATTGTGTATTAAAAACAATTATTTCGGTTTTGTGCACTAGAAAAAAAAAAGATTCAAGACACTGAGAGTCGCAATTTACATGAATACGTGCGAATAGAGACACAAGAGGAATTGGATTGACAATTGATGGTGTTGATTGCAGTTGTTTGTGACGCAATTGTTCAATATTAGTGAGCTAGCTCCTTGAATTGTCAGTATTAGACATCAAAGTCGGTCGATTGAAGCTTCAACTGACTTAATATTTTGGATAAAAGTTTCCAAATAAATCTCAAAAATTAAGTTTTGCAAACTTTTGAGCAACTTTAGCCTTGAATCAGTTGCAAAAAATTGATATTATTCAGCAAAGTCGTCAGACCTGACAACAGTAGACAAATTAACTGAAAATTCATCAATAATCTACAAAAGCTAAGCCACAGTTGCAAAATTAAGCATCAAAGTTGAACGTTAAGTGAGGAAAATTGAATAAAAAAAAACAAAACCTTGAAAAACTCAACAAAAATTGCAAAATTTAACATAAAAGTTCCACAAATTGGGAAATTTTGCTACAAAAGTGAACAAAGTAATTAAAAATTATTTTAAAAAAGTCTTGAAAATATCAAAAGTCACGACAAAAACTGGACAAAAAAAATATTTAAAATATTTTTGAAAAATAAATTCATTCAAAAATAATTAAAAAATCACAATAAAAACATCAACAAACCACACAAAAAATTTCAACCAAGACTCCAAACCAAGTCCTGGTAAACAAAGGCAGCAAAACCTTTTAAAGAATTATATATTATTAATTAAAAAATTAAAGATAAATTAGGAAATATAAAATGTATGCTAAAGGAAAAGGATCAACAGTTCCATCAGATGCACAAGCGAGAGAAAAGTGAGTAGAATTTTTTTCCATCAATATTGCTGTTGTTGCTAATTGCCGCTAAGACACAAAGGCATGATTTCTATTTACTTAAGGGGATTCTTGCTCTCGTTATTCTCAATTTTTATGATTTTTTATCAAGTTTTGAATAAGCTTTTTGCCAATGTTAAGGTGCATTCACACTATGTTCGAAAATTTAAGTACCTTTACATAAAACTCAAAATGCTAAGCCGTCTTCACACAATTTTAGGGTGTTCTCACACGAGCTTTAAAATAGTAAGCTGCTTTCACATTATGTTGGAAAAAAATGCTTTCACATAAGATTCAAAATGTTAAGTCGTCTTTACATCAAATTTAAAATTTTAAGGTTCCTTTACACTAAAAACAAAATATTAAGGTGTCTTTACACAATGTTCAAAAATTAAAGTATCTTCACTTAAGGTTCAAAATATTGAGGTAAATTCTTATTAGTAGCAAAATATTAAGGTGTCTTCACACAACTTTAAGATATTAAGCTGGTCTCACACGAATTATAAATTATAAAGGTGCTCTCACACTAGATTCAAAAATATTAAGGTGCTTTCACATTAGGTTCAAAATATTAAGACGCTTTTACACTAGGTTCAAAACGTTAAGATGCCCTAACATTAGGTTTGAAATTGATAAGTCGTCTTCACACTAATTTAAAAATATTTAGGTGCATTCACACTAGTTTAAAATTTTTAAAGTGCATTTACACTAGTTGTTAAACCCAAAAAATGCCTTCAAACTAGATATTAGGATTCTCTCAAATTAAAAAGAGAAAAATAACATTTACTCAAACCTTACTAACCTCTCCCATTTCTCACCCATTCCAGACTAGCTCTCTACGTCTACGAGTACTTACTTCACGTTGGCGCCCAAAAAGCAGCTCAAACTTTTCTCTCGGAAATCAGATGGGAGAAGAACATTACGTTAGGTGAGCCGCCAGGTTTCCTACACAGCTGGTGGTGTGTCTTTTGGGATTTATATTGTGCAGCACCAGAACGTCGTGATACATGTGAGCATTCATCAGAAGCTAAAGCATTTCATGATTATGGCTTTGTGAGTTCCGGATATGGAGTTAATGGAATTGCACATGTAAGAGTTGACTAGAGTTAAAGTAATTGAGCCAATTGATTGAGTTTGTGTGATATTTTAGAATTCTGGACCAGCACCAAGTCCATTGGGTCAATTACCAGCAAATGAAGGAATGCCAGGTGGTCCCATGGGACCAGCATTTTTCCCAGTAAGTATAGCTTTTGAATATTGCAGTTTGTCATGTTACTAACCCAAATTCATCTTGTAGAACTCATCACTTCGCCCATCGCCCCCAAATCATCCAGCATCTCAACAATCACCGCATTCACAGCCCGGCGCACCAAACCAAATGATGCCGAATCAACCGTTTATGGGTCCACGGTATCCAAGTGGTCCACGTCCACCTGTGAGAATGCCCCAGGGCATGGGGAATGACTTTAACGGACCTCCAGGGCAACCAGGCTTAATGCCTAATAATATGGACCCAACACGACAAGGTGAGAATTTTTCAGACTTATTTTTCATTTCAACTAGTTTTGTAGGAACTTATAAAGTATAGAACTTAATTTACGAGGAATTAGTAGAATGAACTTCAGTGACTGCTATAAATTAGGGATTAATCAACATAACAATTAAGATTCCGTAGCTGTAGTTTAGCCATCTAAAAATAAGTTTAAGATAATCTTCAAAAAAATTACTTTCAAAATTCCTCAAATTAACAGTAATTTTAAAAAGTTTCTATTTTTTTCTTCTAATTTTAAAAAAAAATCACATTTTTAAAAAATATTCTAACATAAAATTAATTTTAAAAAATTATAATATTTAAATTACAAATTAACCTGCAGGCGATGCTGGTGACTTTGTATGGCAAGGTAAGAGGGATTGAGGATTGTTAGTTGCAGTGCCATATTTTTTAATTGTTTGTTTTTTTTTTCCTTTTTCACACATTTTTCTTCTGTTTTTCATTTACATTTTCTTGTGTTTTTTTGGAGAGCTCATTGGTATGGGAAAATGGGTGGGGCAGTGCTTCTCAAACTTTGTCTTTAGTGGCACAAGTCGGTTAATCGATTAGAAAACTGGCACAAAGCTGGTGTGACTATAGTGTGACTATAGTGTGACTATGGTGTGACTATGCTGTGACTATTGCGTGTTGTTGGATAGAACTCGAAACTAGCACCATGACAAAGTCATGATGAATTTTTGCCGGATTTCTATTCGATTAACCGACTTGTGCAATTCTTTCCAAAACCTAAACATTGACAAATGTGCACTTGAAAATGAGTTTATTATGCTGATGTTCAAAGAAGGTTGAGAACCACTAGAGTATAAGATGTCCAAGGGAATAATGGGTGTCTTAAGCGATTTAGGAAAGTTTGGTTATGGATTCTCCATTTTTTGGTACTTCACAATTTAATTGATTAATGATCAACTTTCTATATGACATGGGAAGCTAGTAAGAACAACGAGTTTTAGAGAAAAGATGTTAGTAGATAGATCTGAGGCTGGTCTAGAGATTTTACTGGATTGGCCTACCTCAAGTAGGATCCGGACCTCTTTTAACACATTTCTTTTGGTTAAAGTAGTTCTTCAGTTTAAGTCAGAATGTTAAGCTTTTCCAGCTAGTTTACATCCTAGCTTCTCAACTAGTTTTAAAGGGTATTTAAAGTGAGAGAGAGAGCTTCAACCTCCTAAATCAGGATCCTGGGATACAAAATTGAACAATAAATCCATTCTTCACCATTGTTTGGGTCATTAATGTATCAAAAATTACATCCTTAACTGTAGCCTTTAATCGTTTACTAAAAACTAACAATAATTTACATTGCACATCCGAAAATTCACTCACATTTAACCTTAGTTTACTGGGCATCCTCGATTTGAATAGGATTTTTCTGAAACAAATCAAATATTCAAATCATGGACCACCATTAATTATTATTTATTTTATTTTATTGTAAATAACAAAAAAAACAAATTTCATCATCATTTCAACTACAAATCCTTCAAATTTTTCTAATAGGGAATTACAAACTATTTTCAGGACCACCTGGCATGGGCATGAATCCACGAATGAACCCACCTCCAAGGGGTCCTGGTATGGGACCGATGGGAAGTTATCCAGGCATGAGAGGACCAAACAGTATTGGACCAGGAGGTGGACCGATTCCTGGACCTATGATGGGAGGGCAACGACCATGGACACCAAACACATCAACACCGATGAACTACTCGTCGTCGTCGCCTGGAAGTTATGGGGTAGGTTTTGGAAATTTTAAGGAAGTTGATTTATTTTATTAATGATTTTGTTGACTTATTTTAGGGACCGCCTGGGAGTGGTGGACCACCAGGAACTCCGATAATGCCATCGCCTCAAGACTCTTCGAATTCCGGTGGTGAAAATATGTACACAGTAATGAAGCCAGTTCTACCCGGTGGAAATATGGGAGGTGAATTTTCAATGGGCGGTGGTGGATCGGAATCAATGGGACCTATGGGAGGCGTTCTTAATGGAGATGGACTTGATGGCATGAAAAATTCACCAGCTAATGGAAGTTCGGGTGGTGGTGCTGGTCCAGGAACGCCAAGAGATGACTCTGGATCGGGAATGGGTGACTATAATTTAGGTGGATTTGGTGGTGGTGCTGGCGAGAATGTAAGTATTTTGAGATTTTTTGATTAAAGAAATTATTTTTTGGATTTTTAAGTTTTACTTTTTTGTTTTTAATTTTTTCAATATTTTTTCATTTTATTTTTCAAAACTTTTTTATATTTTTAAATTTTTTAAATTTAAAAGTTTTTTTAAAGAAAATAATAATAAATTTTCAAATTTTTTAAACATTTTTCAAAATTGTTTTAATTTTATTAAATGTCAAAAAAAGTCTTTCACAAAAAACTTAAAAATTTTAAAAAATCAATTTATTTTTATTATAATTTTTTAATTTTTGGTTCGTTTTCAAATTTATCTTAAAATTTCAAAAACTAAGTTTGATCTTTTTTAGGATCAGACCGAGTCAGCAGCAATTTTAAAAATTAAAGAAAGTATGCAGGAGGAAGCAAAGAGGTTCGAGAAGGACAATGATCAACCAGATTACTATATGCAGTAAATTAATTCATTAAGAATGTTCGAAAATTTGTTTAATTTAAGATTATATTTCAAAAGAAAAAAACAAGAAAATTTTTACACAAAATTGAAAAGAAAATCACAAAGTGACCCCTTGTTGTGGGGGAGGGGGGTCTTTACAAAACTTTAATTTTTTTTAACTTTAAAAGTTCAAACCCAGAAATAAAAATTCGAAATTAAAGTCAAAAATTTGTAAATTAGCATCAAAAATTCACAAAAATTTAAATAAACATTTTCATTATAAAATTGTAAAATTTGTCATTTTTTTGCTAAATTACGAAAATTTTCTTTTTTAAAATACAATAAAAAAAACAAATTAATTTGAACAATTTAATAAAAGCTCTTAAATTCTGAAAAACAAATGGATTGAATGTGGAAAAATGGAATGTAAAAAAATCTCATTATTAGAGATTTAATTGAAAATAATAAAAATAAATTAAATACCATGAATTTAAAAAAAAAACAAGAATGAATGTAAAATTTAATTTAATGAAATAGAATGAAAAATGGAAAATTTGGGAGGGAATTTTAGTTGAATTGTGAATATTGATGACATTTTTGGAAATATTTTGTATGTTAATTTAAAGCATACAAAAGAATATTGCTGAAATATTCATTGCAAAATCACAAAATAATTAAAATTTCCCTTGAATATTTTCCTGATTAAAGTATTTTTTGTATAAATTAAAAACAAAGTTAAATTAAAAATGATCTGAAAACTTAAAATTGAGTGAAAGTAAAGAAAATCAAACCCGAGCTTTACATGCTTCTAATGAAAATCCTGAAACTCCATTAGCCTTTACAACTGGATAAGATAGATTTAAACTGATGAGGCTGCGACATTTGTATTGAATCCTTAAACCTCAGTCATGAGCTTTGATTAGTTTTTGGAGCATATGTGTATGAAAAGATCTCCAAATGACATAAGATGATTTCGAATGTGGCTCCAAACTTGCTTTACGTTTAAAGAATGTAACATGTCATTCAAGTTCTTGTCTCTGAAAGAAGCTACAATAGAATAACTAGAGGAGACTTGCTATCGTTACTGCTTAACTCTGAACGATAAGGAAAAGAACCACAACTGTCAAAAGCTAAGACAAAAATAAAATCCAGTCCAATGAAAGTTCAGGGAGAGCAGGGGCGTTGCTAGGAATTTAAAGAAGGGGGACAGAAAAAAATTATATGAAAAATTTAGGGAGGTTTGTGATTGTTTCAGAAAAAAACATAGCAAAACGAAAAATGTTTCGTTAACCTGGGGGGATTTTTCACCAAAATCTTCCCCCTCCCCCTCTCATTGCACCTGAGGTACAGTTCAGTTCAAAGTCTATGAATTCTCTTGTTAATAAAAGTCATGTCCTGCTCGGGTTTGATTTAAGTTGGCAATAAAGCTGTAAGAAACTGAATTTGTAGTTGTCCATCAGTGGCATTTACCACCCTTGCTGCTGTAAATTCATTAAGAAATCAAATCTGTGTTTTTTAATTCTTTCAAAAAATTGTCAACAAAAAAAACTGTGTCAGTAAAACTTTTAAATGTGAAATAAAATGGAACTTAAAAAACAATTTTATATTAAAAAATGTGTAAAAATGTGAAAATCTTTTTCGTAAATTTTATTTGTACAACAAAAACTTACACACACAAAAAATTGTAAGATGAAATTAAATTTAAAAATCTTTACTTTTTTTACTAGGACATTTTTTATTAATAAAAAAATCACTGTAATATTGAATGATATAATTATTATTATATTTAAATTTTATTATTATTAAATTAATTTAAAAAAAAAGAAGAAATAAAAAAATAATTTAAAAAAAAATGTTTTTTGTCGCTCTTAATTAATAAGTGAAAAAAATATAGAAATTAAAAAAAAGGTGGATAAATACACACATTGTAATAATTAATAAGATGAAACTATAAAATATTATTATTATTATTATATAAAAAAATGAATGAAAAAAATTAAAAATGGAAAGATTTTGAAAAAATAAAAAAATTTAAAAATCATTTTTTTGTATTTTTTAAAATAAAAAAGTCTGTTATTGATAGACTAAACTTGTCTAGACTAGCTTCCATCTTAATCCACTTTAGTGATCATCCTCAATCAAACAGAAGCGAAACCAGAAGCCGGTTTCTTTTGCTTCGATTGCAAACATGACAAATTAGATTTGGATTTTAAGAGAAATTCCCTTTCGTCTTCATTTCTTCATTTTTCTAGAGTTTAGATGTTACTTCCTCCCCCCCTCCCCTTTTTACCCCGTTTTTTTATACAATTTTTTTTGTCACTTATCTTCAAATTCCTGGCTGTGCACTTCAAACTATTAAATATTTAATATTTACAAATGTAATTTATCAGAAGAGCAGGAAGAAGGGATTGAAGGGAGGAAAAGTTGGAGGGGGTCTTGAACATTTTGATCAATTCTTAATCCTCACACTAAGGTTAATTCTAATGGTATGGAATTCATTATTAACTAGGGTGACCATCTGCGTAGTTTTACAACGGACAGTCCTGTATTTCAAAACCCTGTCCTGTATACATTTGAAAACTTTGTTCCAGGTCCTGTATTTTTTTCACGAAAATTTCCGTTAATTTTCGAATTTTACTCTATGTCCTGTATTTTTCGAAAAAATTTACCAAAAGTCCTATATTTTCATGAAAATTAGATGGTAACCCTATTATTAACTAATTTCTGAGGAGCTTCACATCGTCGATTGAGTTTAAAAGCTGTTTTAAAGCTGAACTAAGCCCGAACCATCCTCACCCACGTTACACTACAATAATTTTTGCAAATAAGCTTAAAGTTCATAGCAAAATATTTCAATAAATTTTCGGGATCATCTCTTCTAACATTTAATTCAATTAACTTGTAATCAACAATAATATTTGCAGCATCCTTCAGACAGTCCTTAAACTGTAGATATCTCCAAAATGGAATTTTAGTAAATACTGTTATCTTCATATCCCTAATTGGCGGATGACGAAGAAATTTGTAAAAATTATAAATAAGATCGAATTTTTCGGGAGCAAATTTGTTAATAGTTTTTAATTTTCTACAATTTTGTACAATTCCTGCAAATTTATCCGCTGAGATGTTAAAAGCTTCATCATAAAGCGATAGTTCTTTAATTTTTGGACATGCTGAGACAATTCTATCCCAATCAACTGTACTTGTTCCTTGATATAAAGTGTGAACTTCCAACTTTTCAATGCCTTCAAATCCCACAAAGTTATTAAAATTATCTACAAAGCATGGATTAATTGACAATATATTCAGATTTAGCATGCAATTTTTGATTACTGCAAGGACGTTAAATATAAACAAGGCACGAATCCTTAAAGTTAAATTTGTGGTTTAAGAGAATCTTCTTAGAAATTTGATTAATTCATCTCGATTGTCCACAAATGTCCCGATATACCTTAGCTCATTGGTTGACTTGTTGAACTTAAATTCAATTAAATCATTGTCTTAAGCATCAACAGCACTAACCGAAAACTTCCACAAACTTAAAATTTCAATGAATTCAAAAAGTTGATCTCGAGCAATTTTCAAAAATGTTGAAGTTATTGAAATATCCATTAAAAATTCTTTTTGATGATATAAAAATAGTAAAATTTTTTCATTAAAATCGCTGCCTGGGAACATCAAGTCAAATGATTCAGATCCATAAGTAGACACAACTAGCTTCTTTAATTGAAATGGAAAATGCTCAAAGCCTAAGCTACAGTTGACATTCAGTTTTTTGAGGATCAACACTTTCAAATTTGCTGTAGTTTTTAGGAAATTTCTGATTTTTTCAAATTTTGTAGCTTCTCGAAGGACTTTATGGAACCGATTTCGGTCAGTTATATTATAATCACGAAACAATGGATTAAAAATTGTTGCTTTTAAAACTTTCAAGTTTGGTGCGCGGATCATGTCGAAAATGTTTTGAGCTCTTTTGACTGTTAAGGACATCAATGACCTAATAATGATGACTTTTTGATGTTTACTTCTTTCTTCTTTTCGCCTCTGTCGATCATTTTGCCAGATTCTACGTGAGTTTTCAATATTTGGTTGTTGTTGTATCCTAATTCTTTCTAAATCGGCTTGATAAAAATTTCCTCGTAGGTTTGAATTGACTTCATTCGATCGAAGTACGAGATTTTGATCAACATGACTTGAAGCACTTTGAAAACTTGAAGATGTATTACTTGAACTGTCTGAACATCAGTATTCAACATCATTTGACTTTGTGAACTGAAAATCTGAATCAATTCTGGTTAAGATGCCGTATGAGGTCACTTCACTTGAAAATCCAGCAAAGTTTGTTGCACGCTGACTTAAAGATCCAGAAATATTTGATGCAAGTTGACTGGGAGGTCGAGCAGTATTTGATGCAAGTTGGCTTGAAGGTCCAGCAAAGTTTGTTGCACGCTGACTTAAAGATCCAAAAATATTTGATGCAAGTTGACTTGAAGGTTCAGCAGTATTTGATGCAAGTTGACTGGAAGGTCGAGCAGTATTTGATGCAAGTTGACTTAAAGGGCCAGCAAAGTTTGTTGCACGCTGACTTAAAGATCCAGCAATATTTGATGCAAGTTGACTTGAAGGTTCAGCAGTATTTGATGCAAGTTGACTTGAAAATCCAGCAATTTTTGCGGAAAGTTGACGTGAAGCTTCTTCAAGGTTACGATCATTGAAACAGATTTGATCCATTGTTGCTTGAATCTCATTATTCAACTCAAGACGTGATGCATTTGAGCTGATTTTAATTTGCTTCAAAATATTTCGATACACATCATCTTGTTGATCATGACAAATAATGCTTAAATCTTTAATTGGTTTTTCAGCTTCTTTGCATAGTTCCAGTAAAAAGTCTAAATATTTGTCATGATCTGCAGTCTTTTGACATTTCCATGATCCTCTGATTTTATTAATATTTTGATGCATGTTAAACACCGCCAAATGCTTAAGTCCACAACAAAGATTTATTATTTTAATAACAGTTTTTTCTGTAAAGTTGTCGACTGTCAAACTTCTGATACAATTTCGATTATCAGTGATAATTTTTTGTACATTTTTGACAAACTCATCTCGTTAGTAGCGGTAAACTTCGTCGTTTTTAGTTGTAATATTTTTAAAATGAAATTTTCCGAGAAACTTTAAAATTTTTTTAACATTACAGCGACAAATTGTGAGCATAAAAACTGATTCTATTGAGATTTTGATGATTTCTTTCCAGCTGGAGGAATAATTTAAAAAAATTTTGTATTAAAAATTAAAATATTTCGTTCACATTTAAACAAGTTCCAATAATCAGGCAAAATCACGAGACAAAAATTTTAACTTTTTAAGCCTTTTATTGGTATTTTTCTTCAGTTTTAAAAACCAAAGCTGTTCGTTCTGTTTTCCGACAGGTTCAAAATTTAAATATTAAGCAACACTTTAATTCCTTGTCAAATGCTTCCATTGCATTCATTAATGAATCCATATCAAGAAATTCAAAGATAAATAATTTAAGCTCATTTGGAATGTTCTCCATTTTTATTGAGATAATTTCACCACCAACTTTTTGTGAATTGTGCGTGCGTTCACGACAAAACTTTTTGTAAAACTAAAGAAACACAGCGACTTTTATTCACAAGTTTATTATTTTATTCATGGGACGAAGGAAAAAACAAGCAAATGTAATAGAATGAACAAATAAATTAAGATAAATTGGACGATCTTAAAAGCAAAGTTAATAGAAAGATCTCCCAACATAGATATTGTGCGTGTATAAGTCACCAAACATCAAAGTTCTATTTAGAGTAGTGAGAGAAAAGAAATAAGTACGGAATAGATTTAAGCTATTCAGAACTTACGCAGTCTGACTATGCCCATTAAACGAACAAATTCAATAATATAATTTGAGTCTAAAAGTTTTACTTTCTCTGAAGCCAGCTATTTACAATATATTGCTCTTTTAAAAATCGTTTATTCTTTTTCTCTCTTTGTAGTGCAAAATATCAAAACATGATGAAATTCGATCATTTTTTGTGAATTTATAATTAAAACTGATTAAAAACTGAAAATAAATTTTTATTAAGGATAAAGTTCAAGTTGATACAATTAAAGCTAAAGCTTGCTTAGAGCAAAAGTTGATTTTTTTAATAATTTTTTGAGAAATGAAATTTTTTTTTAATATTGCATTTTTGGCCAACTTTGATTGACTAGTACTCGACATAGAGCAATCTTTGGCTTTAATGAGAGATCAATTTAGTAAGATAAAGGTTGTACTATTTAAATTTTGTGGCTAAATGAAAATTCAATAATTATTGCAAAGGATGCAGTAATATTCGATTTTGATTCTAGGCTTCAATTGACCAAGTTTTGGTGCTGAATAGTTCAAATTTTGTGGCTGAATGAAAATTCAATAATTATTGCAAAGGTTGCTGTAATATTTGATTTTGATTCTAGGCTTCAATTGACCAAGTTTTGGTGCTGAATAGTTCAAATTTTGTGGCTGAATGAAAGTTCAATAATTATTGCAAAGGTTGCTGTAATATTCGATTTTGATTCTAGGCTTCAATTGACCAAGTTTTGGTGCTGAATAGTTCAAATTTTGTGGCTGAATGAAAATTCAATAATTATTTCAAAGGGTGCAGGAATATTTGATATTGATTCTAGGCTTCAATTGGCTAAGTTTGGGGCTGAATATTTCAAATTTTGTGGCTGAATGAAAATTCAATAATTATTGCAAAGGTTGCAGTAATATTTGATTTTGATTCTGGCTTCAATTGACCAAGTTTTGGTGCTGAATAGTTCAAATTTTGTGGCTGAATGAAAATTCAATAATTGTTGCAAAGGTTGCTGTAATATTCGATTTTGATTCTAGGCTTCAATTGACCAAGTTTTGGTGCTGAATAGTTCAAATTTTGTGGCTGAATGAAAATTCAATAATTATTTCAAAGGGTGCAGGAATATTTGATATTGATTCTAGGCTTCAATTGGCTAAGTTTGGGGCTGAATAGATCAAATTTTGTGGCTGAATGAAAATTCAATAATTATTGCAAAGGTTGCAGTAATATTTGATTTTGATTCTAGGCTTCAATTGACCAAGTTTTGGTGCTGAATAGATCAAATTTTGTGGCTGAATGAAAATTCAATAATTGTTGCAAAGGTTGCAGTAATATTTGATTTTGATTCTAGGCTTCAATTGACCAAGTTTTGGTGCTGAATAGATCAAATTTTGTGGCTGAATGAAAATTCAATAATTATTGCAAAGGTTGCAGTAATATTTGATTTTGATTCTAGGCTTCAATTGACCAAGTTTTGGTGCTGAATAGATCAAATTTTGTGGCTGAATGAAAATTCAATAATTATTGCAAAGGTTGCAGTAATATTTGATTTTGATTCTAGGCTTCAATTGACCAAGTTTTGGTGCTGAATAGATCAAATTTTGTGGCTGAATGAAAATTCAATAATTGTTGCAAAGGTTGCAGTAATATTTGATTTTGATTCTAGGCTTCAATTGACCAAGTTTTGGTGCTGAATAGATCAAATTTTGTGGCTGAATGAAAATTCAATAATTATTGCAAAGGTTGCAGTAATATTTGATTTTGATTCTAGGCTTCAATTGACCAAGTTTTGGTGCTGAATAGATCAAATTTTGTGGCTGAATGAAAATTCAATAATTGTTGCAAAGGTTGCAGTAATATTTGATTTTGATTCTAGGCTTCAATTGACCAAGTTTTGGTGCTGAATAGATCAAATTTTGTGGCTGAATGAAAATTCAATAATTATTGCAAAGGTTGCTGTAATATTTGATTTTGATTCTAGGCTTCAATTGACCAAGTTTTGGTGCTGAATAGTTCAAATTTTGTGGCTGAATGAAAGTTCAATAATTATTGCAAAGGTTGCTGTAATATTTGATTTTGATTCTAGGCTTCAATTGACCAAGTTTTGGTGCTGAATAGATCAAATTTTGTGGCTGAATGAAAATTCAATAATTATTGCAAAGGTTGCAGTAATATTTGATTTTGATTCTAGGCTTCAATTGACCAAGTTTTGGTGCTGAATAGATCAAATTTTGTGGCTGAATGAAAATTCAATAATTGTTGCAAAGGTTGCAGTAATATTTGATTTTGATTCTAGGCTTCAATTGACCAAGTTTTGGTGCTGAATAGTTCAAATTTTGTGGCTGAATGAAAATTCAATAATTGTTGCAAAGGTTGCAGTAATATTCGATTTTGATTCTAGGCTTCAATTGACCAAGTTTTGGTGCTGAATAGTTCAAATTTTGTGGCTGAATGAAAATTCAATAATTATTGCAAAGGTTGCAGTAATATTTGATTTTGATTCTAGGCTTCAATTGACCAAGTTTTGGTGCTGAATAGATCAAATTTTGTGGCTGAATGAAAATTCAATAATTATTGCAAAGGTTGCAGTAATATTTGATTTTGATTCTAGGCTTCAATTGACCAAGTTTTGGTGCTGAATAGATCAAATTTTGTGGCTGAATGAAAATTCAATAATTGTTGCAAAGGTTGCAGTAATATTTGATTTTGATTCTAGGCTTCAATTGACCAAGTTTTGGTGCTGAATAGTTCAAATTTTGTGGCTGAATGAAAATTCAATAATTATTGCAAAGGTTGCTGTAATATTCGATTTTGATTCTAGGCTTCAATTGACCAAGTTTTGGTGCTGAATAGTTCAAATTTTGTGGCTGAATGAAAATTCAATAATTATTTCAAAGGGTGCAGGAATATTTGATATTGATTCTAGGCTTCAATTGGCTAAGTTTGGGGCTGAATATTTCAAATTTTGTGGCTGAATGAAAATTCAATAATTATTGCAAAGGTTGCAGTAATATTTGATTTTGATTCTAGGCTTCAATTGACCAAGTTTTGGTGCTGAATAGTTCAAATTTTGTGGCTGAATGAAAATTCAATAATTATTGCAAAGGTTGCAGTAATATTTGATTTTGATTCTAGGCTTCAATTGACCAAGTTTTGGTGCTGAATAGATCAAATTTTGTGGCTGAATGAAAATTCAATAATTATTGCAAAGGTTGCAGTAATATTTGATTTTGATTCTAGGCTTCAATTGACCAAGTTTTGGTGCTGAATAGATCAAATTTTGTGGCTGAATGAAAATTCAATAATTATTGCAAAGGTTGCAGTAATATTTGATTTTGATTCTAGGCTTCAATTGACCAAGTTTTGGTGCTGAATAGATCAAATTTTGTGGCTGAATGAAAATTCAATAATTGTTGCAAAGGTTGCAGTAATATTTGATTTTGATTCTAGGCTTCAATTGACCAAGTTTTGGTGCTGAATAGTTCAAATTTTGTGGCTGAATGAAAATTCAATAATTGTTGCAAAGGTTGCTGTAATATTCGATTTTGATTCTAGGCTTCAATTGACCAAGTTTTGGTGCTGAATAGTTCAAATTTTGTGGCTGAATGAAAATTCAATAATAATTGCAAAGGTTGCAGTAATATTTGATTTTGATTCTAGGCTTCAATTGGCTAAGTTTGGGGCTGAATAGTTCAAATTTTGTGGCTGAATGAAAATTCTATAATTATTGCAAAGGTTGCAGTAATATTTGATTTTGATTCTAGGCTTCAATTGGCTAAGTTTGGGGCTGAATAGTTCAAATTTTGTGGCTGAATGAAAATTCAATAATTATTGCAAAGGTTGCAGTAATATTCGATTTTGATTCTAGGCTTCAGTTGGCTAAGTTTGGGGCTGAATAGTTCAAATTTTGTGGCTGAATGAAAATTCAATAATTATTGCAAAAGTTGCAGTAATATTCGATTTTGATTCTAGGCTTCAATTGGCTAAGTTTGGGGCTGAATAGTTCAAATTTTTTGGACTTTTATTTATTATTTACGATTCTTCAAGTTGCGAAGGTATTGAAGAGCTTTTGGTGTAAATTTTAAATTTCAATTTAACTGTAACAATTTTTCTTTTCTAAACTTGATGATTTTGAATGATTTTATAAAACTTTTTGGACTCTTGTCACTTCTGTCAATCATTTTATAGCTAACACAAATATTAGGATTATTCAAAAGACACTCAATTAATTGATTATATCTTTCCAGTGTGATATTAGCAAAAATTGTCATTTCCAATGGTTTCATTGAAGGTCTGAGAAAAAATTCATAAAAATTTGTCGAAACTGAAAATTTTCTTTTGCAAAACTTTTTCACAATTTTAAGATTTTTAGATTTTCTTATAATTCTCGCACGTCTTCCAGGTTTAATTTTAAAATAATCATCATAAAGTGAGAGTTCTTTGATATTTGGACATGTTAAGGCGATGTCATTCCAGTCGACAGTGCCACATTTTTCATATAAATTTTGAATTTCCAATTTTTCAACATTTTTTAAAATAAGATTTTCGGAAATTTTCAAAAAAAATGGATTGATTGATAAAATTTTTAAATTTGACATTGAATTGTTGATCATTTGAAGTGCATTAATTGATAGTAATCCTTGAATATTAAGGCTTAAATTGATAATTTGTGGGAAATTTAGAATCAATGTCTCAAAATCAGCAATGCTCAGTTCTCCTGAATATTTCAATTCATTATTTAATTTATGATATTTAAATTCAATTGAATTATTTTTATCTTGACAGCAGTTGATTGAAAATTTTCTCAATTTTGAGGTTAGTAAAAATTTAAAAACTAAATTTGGTGACATTTTAAGAAATTTTGAATCGATCAAAGCCTCCTTCAAGCTTTGTTTCTGTTGATCCAAAAACATTAAAATTGATGAATTAAAATGTATTCTTTGGTCCCATGAAAACTTTGAATTATAAGATTTAGATCCATAAGTTGAGATTGTCAATTTTTCCAATGGAAATGACAATGCTGCAAAGTCAATTATGCAACTGTAATTTAACTCATTAAGAATCAAAACCTTTAAATTTTTTGTAGTTTCCATAAAACTTTGAATTTTGGCAAAATTTGATGACTTTTCAATAGCTTTGTTGAACTCAACTTGATCCTTTGTTGATCTGAAGTTAATTATTGGATTATTGATTGTTATGCTTAAAGATGTCAAGTTTGGCGCGCGAATCATGTCGAAATAGGATTTGGAATTTTTGATATTTAAAGAATTTAAAGATAAAAGTTAAATTGGTAAGTTGTCGAGTAGAATATCGTCGTCTTCTTGGTTGTCCTCATTTGATTCGTCAAACTGGTTGAAAAATTGATCAATTTCATGTGAAATGTCAAGGTTTTGGCCAGTTATGTCTAAAGAAGCTGAATTTCGGCCAGTTGAGTCTGCTCCTTCAGGATTTTGGACATCATTTGAGTTCAGTACACTTAACTGCTGTTCATCATCAATTTCCATTAACATGTCAACAACTTCTTGAATTTGAACCATTTCCTGGATTTTTAAATCAACTTCTTGCAGCTCATTAGATGCTTCTTCTGTGTGCTGTTGAGCAGTAGAATCAAGTTCATCAATATCAAACAAGTCCGGAAGTAATTCATTCCAAATTTGACCAGGTGCTGAGGGTTGACTTTCAAAACTATTAAAAGAAGTGCTTTGAGGGTGCTGAATTGTGCCAAGAATTTGGTTATTATGATCGTTTTGATCATTTAGTCCAAAACTGCTACTTAAAGATTCATTTTGTAAATCATTGCTAAACAGGACTGAATTTGAGGCTTCATCAACTTCCACATTTTGATCGGAACGTTCTTTCAACTCAGCTAATCTTAACAGCAAGTTTACAAATTTCCGGTGCTCTTTTTGCTTTTCGCAATTTTCAGTTTTTCTTTTCTTTGTCACGGGCCTCCTTTGAGGACTTTGAGAGTCAGTCAAAGTCAAATTGTGAACCTGTAGATGCTTAAATCCAGTGCATATGTTCAACATTTTACTTACAGTTTTGTCAGCAATCCCATCGACGATCAATTCTTTAAAACAATTGCGGTTTTTCAGCACAACTTTCAAAATCTTTTCGAAATATTCCTCGTTTTCCTGGTAAAATGGAATTGATAATATTTTAATTGTCTTAAAGTTAAATTTTCCATCTAATTTAGGAACTTTTTCGATGTTGCATGGACAAAGGATCAGCGTGAAGCTCAACGTTAGAAGCTCTTTGATGATCTGGTTCCATCTATAAAGGTTAATTAAATTAAATTACTTTTTATAAAGAAATAAATAATTAATATCCAAGAAGATTGGCCCTCACTGCTTCACATAACCCGAAAAACCATCTTATATAGATGGAACTGTAAAGGTGGGCGTCTAAAGAGCTCAAGCAATTTCCTACCCTCGTTTTTTTAAAAAAAAAGTTCCTCTAGGGGTCATTCACTTATGACGTCCGAAATTAACGGTCATTTTTCAAAAAAGAACAATGGATTCCCAGGAATTGCTATTGTTCTTTTCTTGCTGACCCCCCCCCCCCCCCCCTGAACATCATAAGTGAACGGCCCCCTAAAAGTTTCACATCTTTTTAGACGCCCCTGCTCCTCTTGACTTGAACATTTAGAAACATAGAATTTAATTTGTTTGAACTGCCACAAAATCTCCTCCCATTCGCCCTAGCCCCCTCTCCTCCCAAAGTGTTCAGAGAGAAATATTATATTTCCAGCTCACTATTTTCCCCCTGACTTCATTGCAGTTGCCAAGTAGGTCAAGATTTTTTGTGAAGTTATTCCGCGTCGGTGTTATTACCGGGCATCTCACAATTACCTTTGGTTCACTTCCATTGCTTTAATTAACGACTTCACATCCAAAAATTCAAAAATATTCATTAAAATTTCAGCTGGAAGATTTTCCATTTTTTTAAAATGTTGAATTAAAAATTACTTTTTAATTAAAGAATTTAATGTCTTTCTCTAACGTTAGAACGGCAATTCTGTCTATAAAAGATTGCAAAGTATTTCTTGATAACCGAAAGCATTCATGAATTACACCATAGTTTAAAAGATCACTTGTGACTCTCTCTCAAATTTGTTTATTTTGCTTGTATTTGTATTAATTTAAATAATAATAAATGTGTGTGCTGTTAAGTATTATTAAATTTATTCGTAAGTCAGCAATTTTACAATCTTCAATTCAAACTTGATAACATGATATTAGCATATGTTTGCATGACTATAGAGACTATAAATTTTTATTGCCGTAGGCCAAGAATAACTGAACTATTAAAAGAAATATTCGAAAATTAATTTAGAAGGAGTTAATTGATTCATTGAATTAAAAGTTTGCTTTCCCGATACCGAAGTCGAGACCGAGAAATCGAGAATGAATAATCACAGCCCTAGCAACCTTGAAATTAGTAGAGTTGAATTAATTCTTAAAAAAACTCCACCTTGTGCGTATGTCCAATTTTATCACTTCTATATTCTTAACTTCATATTTGTCCTTATTTTACCGGTACTTTAATGATTAAGCTAACATATAAGATTGAAATTTTAGAAGAAAAAATTACAAAAATTCTCGTGTTATTGATCGAGGGACTTCAGCACCTTTTTGACGTAGCGATCAGTATTTGATTATCTAATTACAGGTCGTTCACTTAAGACGTCCATCAAAAAACCTGATCTTTAGACTCCCCTCCCCCCTTTGTCACAAAAATTCTATGGAAAAATTTCCATTGTTTGAGCTGTCACAAAATCCTAGACCTTCCCCCCTCCCCCTAAATGTCGGACGTCATAAGTGAACGGCCTTTTATTTTGCTTTCGTTTACAGATCATTAGAAGTTTAGAAGATCATTTATTTTAGTGTAATTAACAAATAATTACAATAAATTTCCATATAGAATTGGTTTATCATTTAACGGTCTTTTGGAATTCAAAATTTCAAACGGTCTATAAATATTTAAAATTATAAAGGAAATGTTGAATTTATTAAATGTACTCATCACGTGGTTTTGTTCATGAAATAAAAAAAACATTAATTATAGTATAAATACACTGTTTCAAGACTTTTAACTGTTCGATCGGCCAATAAATCAATAGTAACGGAGAAAATAAAACAAACCTGAGCTCTCTACGATGTCTGGTTAAAAAGTTTTTCTTCGCCCGAACGAACGAACGAACGAACATTTCGAACTATTAAGCTCCCTTTTTGTATACAAGTATACAAAAATGCGCTAAAAAATCAATTGGGGGAGGGGACCCTCGTAGCAATGCCATTAAACGAACATACATTCAATAAGTTAATTTGAGTCTAAAAGTTTTACTCTCTTTCTGTAGTCAGCTATTTTCAATTTTATTCCTCTCTTAAAATTCATTTATTTTTTCTCTTGCTCTTTGTGTAGTTTTTGTAGTGTAAAATATCAAAACATGACGAAATTTGATCATTTTCTGTGATTTTAAAATTTAAAACTGATTAAAAACTGAAAATAAATTTGTTTTAAAAATAAAGTTAAAGTTGTTACAATTATAATATATAAATTAAGTCTAGTAAGCTATGGAGGAAACGCTAGACGAAATTTTATTAGAAATATTTCAATATTTGCCTAGTTTTGCGCTTCATAATGCAGAGCAAGTTTGTAAGAGGTGAGAAAATAATTATTTTGAGAATTCATGAGTCATTATCAGTGGCGTAGCTTAGTTTGGATGTTAATTATTCTATTTCTTATTGCTCAAAGGTATTAATAAGTTCTAAAGATACTCTTTTGTTTCTCCTGTCAAGGATGATGTCTTAAGGTATTCTTAGATTATTAAAAAGCTTAAGATGATCGAATGATTTTGCGAATGTCATGGCACTTGCAAATGCTTTTGAGCCAACCAATGGTGCGGAACTGATAAATTACATTTTGATCATTTTTGATCATTTCATCAGTACCACACCCTTGGAGACAACATCATGTACTTCTGATGATGATAAACCTTTATGTCGCTTAGCTGGAATACAGCAGTGCTGTATAGACTGTTTTTTGATGTTCCTAAACTGCTGCCTCTTTATAAAGTTACAATCTTGACTCCTAGAGTAGGATACTTTAGTCCAGTGTTGTCGAAACTGTGTGCCGTGGCACACTGGAATTAGAAAGAAAAGTTTTTACGTATGTAGTGATAAAATTTATAAATTCAAAATGTGCCGTGGCTGAAAAAAGTTTGGACAACACTGGTTTAATCTAATGATGGCCAACCTATGTACCACGGCACACTAGTTCTCCTTGCGAAAACTCAAGAAATCCTAAAAACCTATAACGTTTGTGTTTTCAATCATGAATTACCAACATGGTGTGCCGTGGTACAAAAAAGGTTGTCCACCACTGATATATTATGATACCCTAGTCAAATAAGCTAAAACTTAAAAAAAATATCAAATTTAATTATTTCAATATTTTATAGATGGCACGAAACAATCACAACAACATCAAAATTGCAACAAAAAATAGTTTTGGAAGTTAACTTCAACAACACTGCTGAGGCACTTGAAAGGTCCAAAAGCTTTCCATACAAATCAGTCAACTTATCAATGGAAGATGGACAAGCACCTCCGTTATTTCCAACAATGAATCGTGAATTTGATGCAAATATTAAAGAAATTTTCACAATTTTAGGAAATGACTTGAAAATTCTACAAATCAAGAATGTCGAACGTTCACTTCCAATGCTGTTCTTAATGACTCCAAATTTGATCAATTTAAACCTTTGCAATGTAGACGTTAATCATCAGCAGCTTCGACTCTATCCAAATGAAATTCTTGATCAAAATTTAAGTTATCAACACAATCTGCTTTTACTTGGGATTCCTAGACGAGCTCGTGAGCTTAATGTTGGACACGAAGGTCCATTGTTTGCAAATTTAAATCCTCGAGGGCATCCATTTATATTTGAGCCTTTAATAATGCAAAGAAACATAAATCGAGGTGATCTGGTTAATAGACATTTAAACCTTGCTGTCCAGCATCATCCAAGACCAGAAGGACAGCAACCACCTCAACCAATAATCCATCCACGAATTAGACGAATGGGTGCCTTTAGATTGAGGCAAGAGCGAATCAATCAACGAAGAAGAGCAGATCTACTCAGATCTTACACAAAAGTTCCGATTGTCAAACTGAATCATCTGAAATTCCTAGAAATAAAGAGTGTCAGGAAGGTTTTATGCTGGATTGAAGCACCAATTTTAAAATCTTTTATTATTCATGATGCTGCAAATTGCGATGGTATTGAAGAGCTTTTGGTGTCGACTGGAAATTTGGAAAAATTAGTGATGGACCAATTTGTGACGTCATATTTTGAAGATCCCGAAAATTTTAAATTTCAACTTAAGCAATTGGAAATTAAGTCAATTAAAGAAGCTCAATTAGTGGACGAAAACGAGAAATTTGTGTATAATTTAATAAAATTCCTAAAGACACAAAAAGAAAGCTTGAAAGACTTGACAATGAATTTTAGTACTGTCCATCCAGATGTGATTAAGATCCTCAACTTCGTCAACAATCACTTGAGCTTATCAAACTTCTCAATCAATTTTAAATTAGACAATTTCATCGATATATCCTCAACAGCTGCAAATTCAGTCAACAGCATCATGTCTGGATATTTGTCAATATTGAACAATTTTCAGCACATCATTAGCAACTGTGAGAATGTGACAAGCTTGGACATAAATTTTGATATGTATGTAGACACTGAGGTCCTTAATCATCTTGCCATGTCCATGCCAAACCTCAAAAGGCTCTCAATTCATCCATTTTTCACAAAAGTTTCGTCATCGACTGTCTTTGAAAAACTAGAAAGCTTAAAAATCTCAAAGTTGAGGGAAGGTCCACATACAGCAACTTGGTATGAGATGGCAATGACTTGTCCTAATATTAAGGAACTTTGTTTGGTCGACGAAGTTTTTGAGATTTCATCAATGAAGCTTAAAATGGTGCTGGAAAATGCTAAAAATTTGAAAATTTTAAATCTTACCGGATTGATGAGATTTGAAATTTCTGAAGAATTTTTGAGGATTTTTCTGGATGACAATGTTAGGATTTGGAAGATTGAAGTTCATGCAAGAATGCAGCCAGAAGAATTCCGTGAAAAAATGACAATTTTGACTGAAAACACGAGAATTCAAACTGTTTTACATCAAATTAGTTGAAATTTATTTTTATTTATTGACTTTTATTGTAAGAATCAAAAGGATTAATGGCATAATAAAAAAATAATTTATGATTGTAACTCTCTCATCCCGACCAGTACACAAGCTAAAAATCGGATTTGCATTTATGAAAATAAAATCTTTTGGCATCAATATTAATATTTGTTTCCTTCCTTAAATACTCAACACCTTCATGAAAATAATGTTCACAATCTTCATATGAAAACTTCATTAAGTTCAAATTTGCAGGGAAATCAACAAAAGCCTTAAAAAAATACCGAGAAACATGAATATACTTTGCATAAAAGTTCATTACTTGCAAATTTTGACATTTTCTTAAAACCATTTCTATAATTTTAGAATCAATTATGATTTTGTGATTCATTAGTGTCAATTCCTTAAGATTTGGACATGAAATAGCAACTTTGTGCCAAATTTCTCGACAATTATCTTGAATATTTGAGATTTTTAAAATTTCCAAATTTTCAAATTTTAATTTTTGATTAAAATATTCATAATTTGCTGATTTTGTTTGAATTTTCAAGGTTCTTAAATTTAACATTGTTTTTGAAATGTGCTCAAGAATATTAAAACTTGATGATTCCGACATATAAAGTGTTAAAAGTGTTGCTGATGGACACCAGGAGATAAGATTGCATGAGTCAAGGTTAATTTTACCATCAATTTCAAAATCTTTAATAGAATTATTGACACAAACAATTGGAAAATTTAAAAAAGTCGATTTAATGGTTTTAAATGAAAATTTTGTCAATTTTTGTAATTCTGTTAAGCATAACTCAACAAACTCGACTCCCATTTTGTTAATTTCAATTGACAATTGCTGTAAACTGTCTTGTTGAGTAATCAAAAAATGTTTAAAGTCAAATTGGACCGAATCAATGTATTCGTCTTCAGGTATAATAAATAGCGATAAATATTTAAGTTTAAGTTCCAATTGAATAATTTTTTTTAAATTATTCAATCTAAAATCAACAATTGTTAAACTTTCTAATTTTGTTGAAAATTTAAGAAATTCATAATTTTCATAACCTTGATACATAAATATTTTTAAATTTTCAGCTCTAAATAAACTTGTCACAACATCACTACAGCGATATATTTTTAAGAATTTAAGATTTGGTATGTTGATCACATCATTATTTAGATACAAACCTGATAAGTCTATTTTAACATCAATAAGTATAAGTTTTGAAAGATTTTGAAAAAACCGAAAATGTTCAATATTAAAATTTCCACGCACATTCGTTACTTCAAGCTTCTCAATGTCATGATTCTGTTGTTTAAAAATATTTTCAATAACGATACTGAATTCTGGTATTGTCATGGTATCTTGTCTCACGCGAAAACGTCCTGTGTTGATGTTGATGCTTTTGTATGGCAGTCGTTCCATTTTTTTAATCACCTCTTCGACATTGAAACGATTAATTTCAAGTGACAACTTTGACTGCAACTTTTTATTTTGTAGAATTAAACTGTAGAATCTGGACAAGAATTGACATATTATGTTTATGTTTTCAATTAGCCACGACATGCTTACCTGCTGCAAACTTTTGAAACTTCTTCTAGTGATTTGACTTCTAAAAAGCTGAAAATGTGAACCCACACTTCTTCAGAAATATTTTCAATTGAGAAATTTTCATTAGTTTCTTCCATTTTCTTTATTTTGTAAATGTAAGTTGGACTTTGCGATTATTTTGCATGTTTTACCAATCAAATTTAACAATTACAAATAAGTTCTTATTCGGTTATTGCAACTTATTCAATTCAAAAAAGGTTCAATCACTTTTTAAGTATTTCAAAGATTAGATAAATGGGGCGATTGGGTTGGATAGTCCAAAAAGTAGTCAACATGTAGAATTTTATACAAACATTCATTTTATGGACATTATTTATTCATGCCGTCTTGAACAATTTACTGATAATTAATTATCGAAATTTAATCTTATCAACTTCCTCATTAAGGCTTTAAAAGAAAAGTTATGACGAATCAGAGTCGGAGCTAGAAGTCGACTTGAGTTGACTCGATTGCTCATATAGCATTGAATTAACAACAAATAAGTATCATTCAAAGTGGAATCTAAAGCTGTAATTATGGAAAGTTCAAATTTATACTCACAAGAAGACGTCTCATTTATAATCAAGCAATTGACAAAAACGAATGACCTCAACAGGGAAACTTATTTTGAAATCTCAAGAGCTGGATTGGGACTTGATTTACTGGATGTTGTGAACGAGCTCCGTCAGAAGAAGATTAACTTCTTAACTTCTATTGTAAAGCAAATTTCAATTGAAACTGGAAACAATTTACAATCATTTATAGTCTCATTTACTAACCAACATGAAATCTTTGATTTTTTAAGGATTCTTCCCAGACAAAATGGAAATTTGAGGATAAAAGACTCCTGTTGACAAGTGAACATTATTCAAGGACCACTCAAATGTGCATTCACCAACTTGCCAATTGATTCTCCAGTTGAAAAAGCGGATCGTCTTCCTGTCTGCATTAAGTCTACGCTGAATCAAAAGTATCACAAATTCCTACCTTCAGTCTTACTTGTCGAATTCCTTCAGGAGCTCAAAGTCAGTGAAAAACTTTCAAGCATCAACGGAATTACACTTAACACCAAGAATCATCGACAAAAATATCATTTTGAGGATCACTAACGAAGAAGCGGAAAGTGAAGTTTATTCAGCACTGCAGTACTATGGAAACACTGAAATTGAGACCCTTCTTGAATCTCAAATCTTGGCTCATCGGGATGTATGGGCTCAATGTTTCAGATACCATAACGCTGAATCATCAAGCTACATACTTACTCACAATGTCATATCAAACGACCTATTCACCAATGGGAGAGATGTCAACTCTCTACTGAACAGACTCGGTTCCCGAGCATCTTAATTTATGGATCTACCTGCTCGAACATCTATCGCTATTTCTTTTTGTTTTCTTTGATGAAGCTAGGTTCTATTTTGCTTCTTTTTTCATTTACTGCTTACTCATCTATACTCACTTAATTATTTTACAGACAGTATATTTAAATAAACTCGACATAAGGTCGATTGAAATGAAAAAAAAAATATACTATTATTGCTGTGCTTTATATCAATTTTTAACGGGACACGAATGATTAAGATTCCTACGAAGACATCCATTAGCTACGCTAATAGTATAGACAAGGAACATAATAACATAATACTCAAGCCTTATTCATCACAAACAGGCACTCCAGGCAACTACCAGGAAATAACATAAAATTTCTCAACGAAAACATCAAATGGGAAACAGAAGCTAAATATCTGGGAATGGTGATCGACAAGAGAGTGACATTAAAGCCGCATGTGGAGTATGTGACCAATAGGGCTCACACCGCATTAAGACAGCTTTATCCGCTCATCAGCAGGAACTCACAACTCGACGTACGAAACAAACTTCTCATCTACAAGCTAGCCATCAGACCAATATTCACATATGGTTGTCCAGCGTTTGGAAGCATGGCAAAAACCCATCTTCAAAAACTTCAAGTACTGCAAAACAAATTCTTGAGAATTGTTCTCAATAAAACAAGATATGAAAGGATCACCGATCTTCATACAGAAGCGAAAATACCGTCCATCGAAGACTACGTCGGAAAGTTGCAAGCGAACTTCAACAGTCGTCTTGCATCTCAAAACACCGAATAAATCAAATGAAATACAAAAGAAAGTAAAATCCGTAAATGAAATCAAAAATTAAGTGACAGAAGGCAAATTGAATGCCTGAAACCTTAAAAAACAAAAAACAACAAAATGTATAGAAACTTTGTATATATCTAAATTTAAATGTAAATAAATAAAAAGTTTAATTTAAAAAAAGTATAGACATGGTCATGTTTAACCAAAAATACTCATCACAGTTGTAAACTTTTATTTATTCCCATTAGGCTCCTAGAAAGAAACGCACAGGCTGGGGGGCCAAAGCTTCTTAATTCCCACTCCCCTCCCGATAAGAAAATGATTCGAATACTTTTTGGAAGAAAGAATTAAACTGTCATTTACCTTATGTAGAGAGAGTAGCAAAGCTTTGGAAGTGAAGCGGAGCTCTAGGGAGTCGGATATCAAGTCAATAAACACACAACACATACATGTTATATAAATTAAATAAATAATAAGTTTTCGATAGTATTAAGAAATAAATTGCGTTTAAATATATTGTTTGAGTGTGCTACATTAAGTTTGAATTCAATTAAGTCTTAAAAACCGCAAGTTTAACTATAAAAAGTGACTTTTCCATTAATTGTGTCAGTAACCTTAATTGTTACTTTATATTTTCGACTTTGTCTATCGATTGTGACGTTATTTACCGATTTTGACTCTCGAGTGTGACTTAACTTGCGTTACAGATCTACTATCCCTAACCCACAAAGAGCATGCTCAGAGCATGATAAATTGAGCTTGATCAGACTTTTTGAGCGTGCTCACCTAGAGCCACCTACGGTACCTATTTGAGCATGATAATTAAGACTCTTTCGTGAGCATGATCAAGATCGCGATCAGAAGAGCTTGATCGATGTAACATGTTGCATGTGACATGCTCACAAGATCGCGATCTTGATCATGCTCACGAAAGAGTCTTAATTATCATGCTCAAATAGGTACCGTAGGCTTCTCTAGGCATGATAATTAAGCTCAGAAAATTGTACTGAAGAGCGTGCTCATGAGAGCTTGATTTTGAGCGTGCTCTAAAGAGCACGATTTATTATTTAAAATATTAAAAAATATTGACATGTTCTCTTGAGCATGTTCTTTTGAGTTAATTATTAGAGGTGCTCTTATGAGTATGATTTTGAGTATGCTCTCAAGAGTTTGATTTTTTTTTTACTTTTTTGAGATTTGCCGAGATTCGAACCTGGAGCGCTGAGTCGTAATATGCCGTTCACTTATCCTCTGATCTATTGCTGTCTGAAATGATATATTTTTAAAATGGCAAAAACGCGTACTGTTTTTAGGGCCATATTTTTTTCATTTTTGGACATCTTGCCCTAATAATTTCAAGGGCAAGATATGTTTAGGTCCATAATTTTATGTTTTTTGGACATCTTGCCCAATTTTTTTAGGGCAAGATCAAGATATCAAGCTCAGAGTAGGATCTTGAACGTGCTCGGTAAGATTCTTTTAAGAGCATGAAAATAATTTTGTCACACGAAAAGTGGAGATTCTCAGATCATGCTCAAGAGCAAGCTCAAAAAGTGTCTCACGTGAGAACCTTAAATTTTCAAGCTCAGAGCACGATCTTCAGCATGCTCACTAAGGTTCTCTTGGGAGCACATTAAATAATCATTCTCTCATCAAGCTCATTTTTTGTGAGGTTCTCTTATGTTGTTAGGATATATCCTCGATAAAAGAGGGAAATCTGTGTATTTACTCGTAGATATCTGATTTTTCGGATATTTTCATTATCTTTGGGATCCAGACGAGATCCAGTGAAGCGACTCCATATTATTTTTCATCTTTTCGGCTGTTTGGGTAACAAAGTATATTATTTTTATATATTTATTTTTTTTGTCCGCTACACTTATTATCAATATCGAATTTTTATTACATTTGAATTTAATCTAATTTGAGATCTAATAAAGATTATTTCTGCAACAAACTTGAACACTAGTTTTTGCTGTAAATAATGCAACACGGCTGAAAAAAAGGTGTTCAAAGTTTACAGCATGAAAATTAATTCTTTTAACTTTCACATTTTTGTCTGTAAAAACATCAAAAAATCCATCTTTACAAATAAAATCCATGCCAGCATTGAAAGTTATTGTCTGTAAATTTTGACATTTTGATAAAACTTTTTGAATTTCTAACGGATCAGCTTTAATAGTTTTGTCAATTAATTCCAGTTCCTTTAAATTCGGGCAAATCATCGCCAATTGATGCCACAAATCTTGATTTAATAAATAAATTTTTAATTTTTCAACATTTTTTAAAATAATTTTATCGGAAATTTGTAAAGTTGAGGAATTAATTTCAAAAACTTTTAAATTTGGCATCAACTTTGAAATATGATCAAATATGTTTGATCCAATAAGAGCATTAAAATTTAATATTAAGCTAGTCACTTGTGGACAGCATGAGATCAAGTGCTTTAAATTGTCATTACTCGTGTAGCCTTCAAATTTAAGGGTTTTAATGGAATTATTGACTGACAATTTGTTGAATTTTGTAACATTTTTATCAATTTTTAAGGACAGCTTCTTTAATTTCAGTTGTGACAGGCAAGCGTTAACTATTTCGTATGATTTGTCCTCAAAAACGATGAAATTTAAAGCCACATCCTCCAAACTACTTTTTTGACTCTTCAAGAAGTCTCCAAGTGTATTAGTCCATGTTCTTTCTTCGTGTAACTCCCTGAGACTTAAATACACACGATAATTTCCTAAACCCAAATTGAGTGTCGTCAATCGCATCTTGAGAGTGTCCCAACCTTGCATATCATCAACACATCCATCGTAAATCTTTAAAACCTTCAATTTTTCAGTTTTCATCAAAAATGTTGTCAAATTGGCAAATGATTTGTGGATAATCAATTTTTCTAAGTTCCGAGCCTCAATTGAATACAAAACATCACAATATCCTGAGCATCTGATTTCAAGAACCTTTAAAACAGGAAAATTGACAACAGTTGTTGTTTCAAATAAGACAAGATTATCGTCATCAATGATCCTCAATTCCTTTAGATTGTCACAAATCGCAAATATCTTCATGGTCCACAATATACCGATGTTGAAGACCTGAATTTTGTCAACATGCTTATGTAGATTCGCTAAAACATCGTAGATAACAAACGGCTCGAGTGTATCACTGTAAATTTCATCATCTTGATGTCTCATAAAATTTACAGTTTTGTATGGTAATTTTCTGGATTGATTAATCATGTCATTGTAATATAATTTTGAATGAATGTTTAGAGTAAGGTTCGATTGTAGTCTTTTGCTGGCTAGGAGAATGTCAGAAAATCTGGAAATATAATAAATTATGGTATGGGGTCTGAAATTAACGGTCATGTTTCAAAAGAGAACAATGTATTTCTAGGAATTTCCATTGTTCTTTTTTTTGCTGACCCCCCACCCCCTTCTTCTTTGACGTCATGAACGAATGGCCCCTATGGTAATCAATAAGATCGCTTGGAAGGGATGGATTTTAAAACTTTTGTGTGAAAAATTTTGGGCGTTTATATCCCCCCCCCCCCCTCTCCTTCTCTGGGTCACTCTTGAAGATGACCACAGAAGCAAGTTTCTCGGATGTTCCTAATTTATAATAACATCTTTAACCTTTATTCCTGGTCATGCTTAAGAAAAGTGTTGTCCAAACATTTTGATCCACAGCACATCTTAATTGTATACAATGATCGAAGTCAAACACAGCATGCACCTCGTGTTATTTCCGAAAAATTTATTCGAAAACACTGCTTTTGAATCGAAAGTTTCTTATACTTTTTATGGCCACGGAGTAGTAAATTCTTATTCACCTATCCGCAATGCTATAGTTGCGACTTCTCACAAATCTGAATTCACGTATTATGATTTCAGAACTCCTAGAAGTCTAGTTAAAAATACTAAAGCTAATTGATAAACAACTTACCTTTTGCTTGCATCGACTACACGCTCCAAGCTCAATGAGTCTAGAAACTCAAAAATACATATCAAGACCTCCACCGGTAAGTCAAAAATATGTAAATAAATGTCCATATTAAAATCTTTACAAGTCGTTAATCAAGTACTGTTCGTAAGGATTAAAATTATATTTATCTACTGAAAACACGATCAACATTATTTTAGAACAGTGATGGCCAACCCGTGTGCCGCGACACACTAGACACAATTAATTTTTTTAGATATTCTACAAACTGTATGATTTGTGCGGTTTTGGTAAGGAGTTATCAAAAAGTGTCGAGGCACAAAAAAGTTTGGACACCACTGTTCTAAAAGTTGAATCAGAATTATAATCTTGACTCATGAATAGGGTGACCATCTGCGTAGTTTTACAACGGACAGTCCTGTATTTCAAAACCCTGTCCTGTATAAATTTGAAAATTTTGTTCCAGGTCCTGTATTTTTTTCACGAAAATTTCCGTTAATTTTCAAATTTTCCTTTGTGTCCTGTATTTTTTGGGAAATTTGTCAAATGTCCTGTATTTTCATAAAAATTAGATGGTCACCCTCCTCATGAATGCTTATGCGATGTACTATAAAAATTAGTAATATTAAGTTTGTGATGCTTGACTCAAGTTAAGGGTAGATTAATGTCATATTAATTATTTCAAACCAAAACTTAGCATGAATGAGAAGCCACAAAGGGGAGAAATTAATTTTTTAAAGGAAACATTTAATTCTTGCACTTTTTTTGTTCGGTCGTGTGCTCGGTATGACAAGATCTCACTTGAAAGGCACACATTATTTTAATAGCTCAGTTCCAGGAGTGGAGCCAGGGAGAGGGGGTCCGGGTGAACCTAAGGGATCACTCTAAGTTAGCATAAATTTCTTCATTTTGCCATGTTTTTATAAAAAAATCCTAAAAATCATACAAAATTGTATAAAATTCTTTAAAAAAAATTTCGTCCCCTCCCCCCCCCCCCCCCCCCTCCTTCTTCAAATTTCTAGCTGCTCCCCTGCTCAGTTCTATTGAGTTATGAGCCTCCTGCTTTGAAATTGAAATAATCTAGGCTCGGAAACTAGCGGTATTTTAATGGCGGTATTTGGGGGTATTTCATATAAAAAGGCATTATTTGAGGAAGGGGGGGGGGGGGTTTGTATGGAGTTTAGCGGTATATGGGGAATTTGGCGGTATCACGCCTAGTTTGAGCCGGGGAATAATGCGCTAAAGTCACTCAATTTTTATGTTATTTTTATTTATTTCTCAGCTGTTCACACACAATTTTATCGCCAAATACTATGTCAACAAAATCACTGCTACATGTCTTAATTTTAAACTTTGATATTAATTCTGGTTTCAAAATATCATTCACATCAACATCCTCTTGGCCAGCCATTGGATGAACTTTTGCGAATTTCAACTTTTTACCTTTTGTCACAAATCTCACAACATGCTCAGCAACAAATCCGATTAGTGATAAAAAACAGCACGCAAGCCAAATATTAAATCCAAAAGCAAGTTCATCAAGTGTCAAAACTTTCGTTTGCTTTTCAACTTTTGCAAATTTAATCGTTCTTGTGTAATATTCTTTAATTAAATAATTCATAATTCCTGTTGGAATCAAATTTTCAATTACTTTAACCAACATTCTTGTATAGTAAGCAGCACCATAGAAATAGAAAACATCTTGACTTGTATATAAATTCAAATCTTTAAGATAATTCCAATTTTGACCGCTATGCTGTATCTTCGATTCGAAAGTATTTTTAAAAAATTCATCAACTACAAGAGCGATTTTTGCTGATGCATTATGCGACTGACTGAGAAGTGCTCTTAAATATCCAACCGGATTTGCCAGTCTTACATTCTTCCTAATTAATTGATATATAAAATTGGTTAATCTTCAGTCTTGACCATCAAATAAACATACCTTGAGCTTAGTCTTTTGTCATTCATGATTAATTTAAGTGTTGACTCTAATGTATATAACTTATAGTTTCTATCGAATAGATCCTCAAGAGTTCTAGGCGGCGAATATCTCGGATCACTTGTCATGAATTCAAAGAACTTACTTTGAAAGCATGTTCGAAAAATTAAGCAAAAATAAATGAAAATCAATAAAATAAATCGCGAGAATTTTTTATTTGGCAATTTTGTTTGTGAGATTCCGAAAAAGATTCGAATGACATTCCAAATGGGTGTTGCAACCTTATCGCCATAAACAATACTCCGTGTTGACTTTGATAGCCGATTGATGACTAAAATTGCAAGAAAAGTGACCATAAAAGTAATAAATAACATAATCCATGTCTGAATATCGAATGGAAGGATAAACTTCTCATATTGAGTATACTTTTCACCGGGCGTTACGAAAACAAACATTTTTAAATTTGACATAACCGTTGTTGACTGCAAACGTTCATCTTTTAGAGATAATGGTTGAATTTCAAAATGCACGTCCGGTGTTTTGAAACTATAATTAATTAGTATTAAGTCAGGTGCCTGACCATTTAAATTTGTTAACCATTCTCGATGTATCTTCACAGGCTGAAATTCGGGATTAAAGCCATGATACTCGCCTGCAATGTCAAAAATGACTGGTGAAATTCCAAAAACAAAAAAATCTGTATTATCCTTGTTAACAACTGAAAATCCAGATGAATAATAAACCAAATGATCAAATGGAATCGGGAGCATCATGACTAACTCGCAGTCGTAATATTCTAAAAATTTCTCATAATCTTCAAGTTTTAAGTTCCATTTCTGTGAACTTTTGTCAAATGTATTCACGATGAACAGCTCTGGATGATGACATGCATATGGACTGAACCATTCGACTGTCGATAGCGTTATCGTGTCAATCTCATTAGTAATAAAAAATGTGTAAGGAAAAACAGCACTAGATATAACTGGTATTCGCTTGTAATAGCGATAAATCTCTGAAGACCATAGTTGCTCGTAAGTATGGTTTGAAAGGAATACAAAATGCTTAATTGGTTGATTTTGATCACGAATGACGTGAAAGGCATCCTCAATGTACTTAAACATGAATATATCATCGATAAATATAATTGTTGGATATGTTACACCAACTGAATATTCAAAATGATATTTTTTAATGTCTAAAGATTGACAAAGATAAGATCCGTTGAGTTTAGTCATAAAGTTGTTGGCAATGTCACGTAAAAATTGCGAATCAGAATTGAACATTAAAATATTAATTCTCCTTTGCATGTTCATTATAAACACGTCAGAAACGTCGCGTAGGACGTTCGAGATATCCAAAACATCCTGATTTTCTATTAAATTTAGAATAGTTTTGCAGGATATTGTGGAAACAACCAGCACAAATCTGAGAACTTTTAGGCAAAATTTCATATCAATTAAAAATCACTTTTCCTCAAATATCATAAAATTCACCACCAGAAATCAGTACAATCAACAGAGTGTTCAGTCCAACTATTGTTTGAGAACAAAAATTCCAAAAAACATCATTTAAATAATTGGAATAGCTTAGTTTTATTGATTTTGTGTAAAAATGTTTAGATAAAATTACATTTTATGTTTTATTTCAGTGCTGGCAAACCCATGTGTCGCAAAACAATTTGACAAAGACCACGAACCGTGTGTCGTGTGTGGTTTAAGTCATGGCTTACTACGAAGGTGTGCCGTGTCATCAAAAAAGGTTGTCCACCCCTGTTTTATATAATCTTTAATCTAATGTAATGTCATCAAATTAATTTACAAAATAGTTGTAGTTAAACTTATTTTAAGCTGAATGTTTGATCAAGTTAAATTGTTGGATACTACTGGATCATAATATTCTAGCCTACATTTGACTTGGATCTTAATAATAATAATAATAATTTGTGAAGGGCCCAGCCTTTTGAGTTGGAGGCACTCCGATTCAATTTGTAAAGTATCTATTGTCCCATACCCTTTAAACCTAACCCAGGACCTTTGGCAAAGAAGGCCAACGCTCTACCATTTAAGCCACTGATACCATTTTACCGCTTGACTTGGATCTTACAAACCCGAATAGCACAAGTCGATTAATCGAATAGAAATCTGGCGCCAAACCGGCATGACTCTGGCATGATGCTAGCTATCGTTTAAATCCAGCACCATTTTTTTCATTTTAATTGCACTTTATTGCATTTATTGACGACATACTGTCCGGTAATAATTCACATTTTACACTTTTGTATTTGTATACATATGAATTAATATTATGTAGGATCAAACTTCTAATCTTCATATCTTGGTTCAAATTTTAAGGCTCTCGTTTCGATCTTCTGTGGGCGTGACGTGATACTTTTCAGGTCCGTTCTAACAATATTCCATTCGTGGGTAATCTTGTAGCTCTCGTTCCTATTTCTCCCGCTACACTTCAAGTTCCTGACCCGTTCCTTAATCCAACGTTGCCCAAATGCCCAATTATGGCTTGATCTCGTACATTAAGCAGTCGAAGTATCTAAACTTCTGAAAAAGGAAAAATTTGGAAATGGCTGGATTCGAACCGACGACCTTCGAGTTACCATACCAAATTTGAGCCAAGCGCCTTACCTATTCAACCAACAAGTCACTTAACTGCCAGTGTCATATAGGGTCGGTGCCGGATTTCTGATCCATTAACCGACTCATGCCATTCGGGAAAGTATTTATTTTGCAAGTTCTGTGCATGTGAATGCAATTATGCAGTAGTAGACAACATTTTTTGTGTCACGGCACATCTTGGTGGTGAAAAAAAACAAATTCTAAAGGTAAAAGGCAATTTCTATAGTAGATTTAATCTTACAAAGGCAGTGCCTTTGGCTAGGTATTGCCCTTGACTAGGCATGTCTAGGCAAAGGCAAAAATTTCTGCCTATACAAAGGTAATGCATGGGATAGATTTTTGCCTTTGATAGGAATTCAATAGGTGACAACTCTGGTTCTTTTCTTGCTGACTACTCCCCCCCCTTCCCCGCTTGACGTCATAAGTGAACGATTCCCATAATAAAATTGGTAATATACTTTTTTAAAAATGTTTATTGCAATATTATTTAAAACTAAACAATTTAAAAGTAAATTTTTGGGAAAATCTTATTATAAAATCTAGTTTGTCACTATCTTCTTAAACTACTCAGCTAGATTACTCAATTTTAAAACATTTACAACATTTTTTTCTAAACTTTTACCACAGTAATTTGCGTCTTTGTTCCTTGTGTGACAGCATCAATTTCCTCATAAAATCCATCTCGGTTAACATTACCGAACATTTTTACAGTCTTAACATTGCAATTTTGATCCAAAAACAAGCTGCAAACTTCCCTCAAATTTGAAATACTTGTTTTGCCAATAAATTGTAAATTCTCAAGTTTTGTCAATTTCCTCAGCACTCTGTAAAGATCCTGTGAAGCAACGTCAAAGTTGTCATCAATTAATGTCAATCTAGTCACATTTGAGCAAGTCTGAGCGATTCTGTACCAAACTTTCTGTCCAAGTCTTGAATTTACTTGAAGGATCTTCAACTTTTCGAGTTTTTCTAAATTTGTGCCTTTTGAGAATCCAGCAAAAAATGTGCTGATTTCAAGTGCCTTTAAATTCGGCATGCTTGATTGAATAACGCTGATGACATCTGAGTTGTTCTTAGTTTCCACGTTGATCTTCAAATCAGTCACAGCTGGGAATTTTGCAATTAATTCTTGGATGTCCTTAAAGTTCCAATATCCAATAATCTCCAAATCTTTAATAGAACTGCTAGCATTTGGAAGTGAAAGATTGAAACTTTGGTAATTTGACTTCAGTGACAATTTTGTCAAATTAAATTCAATCAAGAGGCTGTCCAAGATTCGACTAGCTTGCAAATTAAGTCCATCAAAATTCATATTCAGTTCCTTTAATGTGCCTTGATGTTGAAATAAAAAGTTAAGCAAACTATTGCCCAAAAATTCCTGTTGATTCCTCTGAATTTCCTCTCTAAACTGCTCGACATGCTGCATATAAATCCTGTTTCGATCTACTGGGTCTCTTAATTGCTCCAAATTCTCACGATAATTGTTCCTTATTTGCTGCATAATTATCTCAAATGCCATCCGATTGTTGATCATGCTACGGAACAGATTCATGTTGTTCTTAAGCTTAAATGTCAATTTATCAAGCTTGAATTTAAAAGTTTGTGGTCTTCGGACTGCCCTCAAGTTAAAGTCATGCAGAACTAAATTTTTCAGATCCCAGGTGATGACAAGGAAGTGTCTGAGGACCTCATAGCCTGGATCATCATGCATTATCAATGTTTCAATGTGCGGTGCTTCAATTCTGCTGAATAAGTCACTTGAGTCCTTAACTTCTAAGTATAATAAGTTGGTGAGTGTTATTGTTTCAGGAGTTCGAACGTCCTGAGAGTAAAAGTTGTTCCTGAATTGATTTACATTCACAGAGTCAAGTCTCAATTCTACCAAGTTTCTACATCTACACAGGACATTAGCAGCAAATATATTATTCATGTTGGTCAGTTCCAAGACTTTCAAATGTCTGCTGTGATCCAAGAAGATAGTCTCGACATTCTTAACAAACTCATACTCAACTAGCTCAGCCAATCCACCTTTAAAAGCAACAAAATCAAGGAATGGAAGTCCATCAGAAGTATTTGAGGTTATTTTGATGTTTCTGTACGGATAGTTTAAGGACTTCTTGACCATTGCTTCGCAGTTATTGGCATTGATGTTTAAGTTCAGTTGTTGCTTGATTGATGATGTCATTGTGGCTATGTCGTACCATCTAGAAAATAAAATAAATTTTTTAGATTTTGATGTTTAAGAGGAGGTGAGGCTAAACAAGTGTATTAGAAATCGTTGGTTCTCATAACTGAACTAGGACAGGGACTAGAGCTACTCGTGGCATCCTAGATTAGCAATGTTTTGCCATGAGTTACAAATTGTATCTAATTGTGGACTAATCCTATAAATTCTATATGTGTATGTACTAATGTAGAACAAGTCGGGATCGGTGGGAATCAAACCCACGACCTCAAAAGAGACGATGTCTGACCACTCGATAAGAGATCTCTCATACACATATAACAAGTTTCAAGGCAAGCCCTATGGTCAGGCTTATCAGGCCTATCCTACTACCGATATGCCCTTCGAGCAAAAATCACACTTAGTAAATTGAAACTTACCTATCAGATACTTCCATGACATTTTGAAGAGCCGGTGAGTCTAAGAACTCAAAAATGTTGATCAAGATTTCAGTTGAAAATGTATCCATGGTTAAAGTTTAGTTGCACTTTGAATAGAATATCTTGAAAGTTTAAATTTTGAATTGTATTTTTTATTCTTGAAAGACTTCAAATTGTTTTGTTGACTTTTGCAATAATGATTTGGAAATTAAGAAATTTAGTATTTATAATGTTAGATTATTTACCTGCTTGAATTGAGAATCAAGTTTGGACAATGTTCCTGCTGAAACTAATCTTCTGAATGTTTATTATTAAATTCTCAAAAATCATCAAATGCTGAAACTTAATAAGCATTAATTCTGTAAGATTAAAATTTCAAATTAGCCAAAAAAAACATTTTATTTACATTATTTAAAAATATTTTCTTAAATTCAATTTTTAATTATTTTCGTCAAATTTAACAAAAGTTTTAACAAATTTCAAGCAATTTTCATTATCATTGTTCATAATTTCGTCATTTAAATATTTATTTAAGATTTTTTCACTTAATTTTATTTTATTTGACTTAAAAACTAATTTCAAGAAATCTTCAAATTCTTCATAAATTTCACCTGACATTCTTTGAATTGCTTCAAATGGAAATTTATCCAAAAGTAAATCTTGAGCCCATTCCCAGTAATTTTTGAATATTTTAGTTAAAGCCGATAAAACTTTAATTTCATTCAGTTCTTCATAGTAAAATATCCAAATAATTAGCTCGTGTTTTTGACATAAGAATTTTTCAAACGCTTCATTTACAAAGTCATCAATGATTGGAAGTACATTATAGCAATTACACACATTTATGCCAGAATGAAACTTCATTATCAGTCTTTTTTGGTCATAAATGTATCGGAAAATTTGAATCATGCAATTATTGACTAGAAATTGATTTTCATGTCCAGCAGTGCTCAATAGAAATTTTTCAAAATTACGAAAACTGTTTTTATATTTTAAAATAATTAATGGGTCAAATTCAGGAAATGAGCATAAAGATGAGTCTATGGACGCAATGTTGGATGCAAAAACATTCTTCATTAAATTGCTTAATTTTAGATAATTTTTCTCATTTGTGGCCATAAATATTTCAAAAATAACTTTCTGTGCATTAAGAATCTTCTGTATTTCTTGATATGAGCAGCTGTTATCAATTATGAAATTAATAAAAGTATCAAATGTCTCAACATCTTTAACAACCTGACGAAATAAAAAGACAAAATTATCAAAAATTAAATTTTTTTTGACATATTTTCTGGTTTCAATATTAATTAAAATGTTGCTTAAAAAGTTTTCGAGATTAGCCAATTTTTCTTTATTTTTGAAGAATACTAAAGTCGACTCAAAGTTACATTTTAAGAATTGATCAGGATGAGGTTGACATTTACTGAACATTTTAGTGCATATTTTTATAAAATCTTCGCAAGATTCTTCTGAAAGTTGAGAAATCAATTCTAAAAATATGCTTTTTGACCTCAAATAAGGATAAAGTTCCTCAAAAGCATCGTTAGAAAAATGCCCATAAATTTTAAATATTTCCAAAGTTCTAGCAACACTGGTTCCAAACATAAGTGGATTAAAATCAAATGTAGAGTCTGAAAAGAAATTAATTAAACTATTTCGCACGCATTCGACTTTTTTTTTTTTTTTTTTTTTTAAATTAAACTTTTTATTTATTTACATTTAAATTTAAGTATGTACAAAGTTTCTATACATTTTGTTGCTTTTTGTTTTAAGGTTTCAGGCATTCAATTTGCCTTTTGTCTCTTAATTTTGATTTCATTTACGGATTTTACTTTCTTTTGTATTTCATTTGATTTATTCGGTGTTTTGAGATGCAAGACGACTGTTGAAGTTCGCTTGCAACTTTCCGACGTAGTCTTCGATGGACGGTATTTTCGCTTCGCACGCATTCGACTATAATTGAGTCATTTTGATCGAAAATGTCATTTAGAAATTTCAAAAATAGCAAAAAAGTTTCTTGATTTTCAAGTGGTTTGAAATGGCGTGAATTTAAAAAATTTTGCCTTAATAAATCTTTCTGATTTTCAAATAATTTAAGCATAAATTCTTTAAATTCTGGATAAACTTCTTCAGTCATGTTTGATAGAACTTTAGAAATAAGATTTTCCATTGGATATCCAATTTTCTGAAATAAATCATATTTAATTCTCTTAAAACAATCTTCATCGTTTAAATAAATTTTTGAAACTCTATGAAAAACTTTTTGACCATTTTTTACAGAACTAATTAATAAATTTCCATAAAAATCACTCAACACAATTTTTTTAAAAACAATCAATTTTAAATCTTAAATTATTAAGAGTTATTAAAATCGGACAGAAAACTGTCGAAACGTTTGAATTTTTTGTCATTTGCAATTAAATCATACGATTTTTGAGAAGAGTTCGAAGAAAAATTATCATTAAATTCAAAAATGCCAAAAATTTCAGATTTATTATTTTCAAATATTATCAAAAGGAAATCCTTAAAGTCGCGTAAATCTTCATCTGAGTAAGTGTCAAAAAGAGAAAGCTGAACTTTTCGCCATTTTAACCATGCTTGCAGTTTAATTTTGAACATTTCATCATTTTTCCAAGTAAATTTAAATTGTTGAAAACTTTTGAATATTTTTAAATCTTGAAATCGCATTTGGTCAACAAAAATCAACTCCACAATGTAGGTTTGAAATTTATTCAAAAAATCTTTGTCCTTTTTGCTGCAACTTTTCAATAAATTTTCACAATTGTGTTGGAAAAATAATAAATTTTCAATATCTTTGCGATCGTAAATAAAGTTTTTCATAATTGTTAAAAAGCATTCCTGTTCCTCATCACATGAAATCTCAACAAATCGATTGAAAATCTTCACTTTCAAATTTTGTCTTACAGATTCAGGCATGGCATCTACATAATAATACATTTGAGAATGGTCGTATATAGCTTCCCTTTTAGTAATATTGTAATTACTTTCCACAAACTCAAAAAGCTTCAATTTACAAAATTCTGAACTTAATTCAATTTTTCCTAAATTTTCATTTCTTTTAAACTTTTCATCCCAATTTTGTCCAAATGAAATTTGAAGAATTTCATTAATTTCATCGAAAAGAAATATTTTCTGAAATAAAAGAAACTCTAAAAGATTTTGAGATTCCATTAAGTTCCAAATTGACACAATTATTTTTGGATTATTTGATAAAATTGTAAAGAAAAATTCAACAAACGAAAAATTAACCTTAAATTCATGATTGTCAATTTTTAAACTTTTGTGCTTAATGCTAACGTCAATTAATTCACAAAACCATTCAATATTTTTGTTTCCATGAATTTTTTTATTCTTGTTGCTTTGCAAAAAGCTCAAAATAAATTTTAAAATTGAACTGTCTTTTTGTAGTTCATTAATCAGCAATAAAAGAATCTTAAAATCTTTATTTCTTTGAAGTTCCTCACAATTTGAGTCAAAAGTTATTGAAATTATGAATTGTGCTGCAAAAAAGTCTGCATATGTTCTGTGAATAAAGTCAATGTAACTCCTGCGTGGATCTTTATCAAATCTCGCATCTAATGTCACAAATCCAAACCTTTGAATCCTGTCAACTGTCCAATTTTTCCTTTCCTCCTTCCATCTCTCCATAATTGACAGATCTTTAACATCTTTATATTTAAAAAGGACTTTTAAAGCTAACAATTGGTGAACATGACCAAGATTGAAGACTTTAAATGCATCATTGTCTTCACTTTCAACTTTCTGTCCAACTTCCTTCCTCAACTTTCCTGTTACTTTGTCGAAAATGTCAAAAAGATTCGCAGATTCTGTATCTAAATCAATCTGTCCTTGAATGTAGAGTTCAGTGATCATTTTGATCATTAATGGATTATTTACTTCATTGTTGTATTGATCATTTTTCAGCAATTCGAAAAATACTTTTAAATCATTCATTGTATCAGCTTTTGATATATCTTTGGAACATTCTTTGTAGCTGTCATAAATTTCATTAATAAATGTGTCTCTTTCCTCAACTGTGTACGGTTCAAGCTTATGTGCTTGCACATTAAGGCTTTCTTCTAACATGTTTGCACATTGCGGTCGTGATGAAATCCAGAGTTGGTTTATGGTTTTTTCTTTTAATATTTTCATTATTTTTATCATAAAGTTGTTGTAATCAGGGCTGATCTCGTCCACACCATCTAGTAATAAGATTACTCTGTCATTTGCAAACAAAAACTTGAAGATGTCAACTTCCAATTTATCTTTTAAATCTTTGATGTCAATTAATAATGCCAGGACATCCTCAAGGCACAGATCTTTACTTTTGTTATAGGAATCGAAAATAGAACGATATGTTCTCAGCTTGGCAAAGCTGACCCAACTGTTTTTATTAGTTTCCTTCAAATTTGCTGTCAATTCTTCGAATGTTGTCGTCTTTCCAGCACCAGCTGAGTCGGAAAGAATAAAAATTTTAGTATCTTCAACTTCACTTTGAATATCGGACATAGTTTTGCATTTATATGAACTAGGAATTTTAAATTGTCTTTCAACTGATGAAAATTTGGTCGTTGTCTTATGCTGACTTCCAATTTCAATGCAATCTCCCTTTATTAACATATCTCGTATCTGTTTCGATGTCATCTTGCTCAAAATTTCTTCTTTATTTCCAATAATTTCATGCAAAGTAGTTTCTTGTCCTTGGAAATTGACTTTAGAATGCAAGATTCTTGCTTTCATGGGACCAGTAAGCTGATCATACTTAATATCCACACTTTCATCAAGCAAAGTGTCAATAATCTCCAAAAAATCGTTAAAATCTCTCTCGACGACTTCCTCAAAATATTTAAACAATTTTCCGAATTTTTCTCTTCGGTCTTGAAGAATTTTTGAGTTTTCACACTCAATTGTAGGATCTAGGACATAATAGTGCATCAGCATCTGCACAATTCTCACAATATATTCTGAGTTATGATGTTCTTGGATGTAGTACGCAACTGTGCCTACAATATCCTCAAAGTCTCCATTTTCTTCACATTCTGGAACAACTTCATCCTCAAATCTTCTTTTATCATCAGATTCACCTTTTGGGTATGGATCATAATTATTGATGTATGTAAGAAACACAGCAAGATGACATAGCTCATGAATGATCGTTCCAATGACTTCGTGCTTCA